CATGCAGTATAATCGAGATCTCGCATGTCTAAACAAGTACTTTCTCTAACCCTTACTGTTCAATACACTTCTGCATAAACAGCACTTGTTCAGACAATTCAGACGCTTGGGAAATGCTACTGGTTTTCTGTAAACATACAATTATAACTATTGTTTTGCTGCAAGAGTTGTGTAAGTTTTCACTTCAATTGATCAAGACTTTTCCTACATTTTCAGATCTTATGTTCACCCTGAATGCATGTGGAAAAACATTTACCTTTACTAATTCAAGGTAATGCTGGATTAGTAATGGATATACAGTTGGCTTTTTTTGTCCTTAAAAGGTAGGGTAGGTAAGAATGGAGAAACCAGCTCGAGTGCGCAAGAAGTTGAAAGTACACAACCGGAAAAAATCTGCCCCTTCCTTCAGACTTCCTTACAGAGCCCCTCCTCCAACACACACGAACATGCACATGACCAATGAGGGCACGAGATAAGTTTGTGCACGAGATGGAAGGCTGACAGGCAGGTAGGCCATCCAGTTATTTTAGTCGGGCCGGCTCAGATGATTGGTCGTGCTTTTTACAGCGCCACGGCTTCCACAGATGACATTTTTTTTATGTATTTATTGTCAAAGCATTTAATTTATTCATTGCTATCGGGATGTTAAGAGCATTCCATGGAATATAACAAAAAGTGTTTCTGAAGTGAATTACCTACCCCACCTTTAAGTATTATATATTTTAGCGTATGGGACAATTGTTTACTTGTTCTTTTATTCTACTTTAATACTAAACATGTTTCTGTGCCAATTATTATGAATATTACTGAAATCAAAAAGCTAAGCAGTCAAATTTGTTTCTATTATTTGCAGTCTGGTGTGGATGCATTCAATTGTTTCTACATACACATAGAAGGGTGTGAAGGAGGTAAAAACAAAATGTCTACTTACTTGGTGATTGTCCAGGAGCCATAGAGGGCTGTCCCATGCTGGGGGGCTGTCCCATGCTGGGGGGTTGTCCCATGCCGGGGGGCTGTCCCATGCTCGAGGGCACCTGTGGGAGGCCAGGGGAGGGGATGCCGGGCATCATGCCCTGCTTCTGGAGTCGCGTCCTCCTCTTCTCCTCCAGCTCCTTTTGGATTTTGTAGATTTTCTCTGCCAGCAGATGGTAGTACTCCGCCTAGAAAAGGAAGCACCAGCCGGGACAGAGGAGGTTACTTGGTTTAATCGCAACAGTGCATACATTAATACTTATGCTTTCTCTACTGGAAACTGATGGATTCAACACGAGGGATTGACACTTCACCATCAGCAGCACAAACCGTTTGGCATTCAAATCTGTATTAATACCACTCCATGCATTGTAATATACACATTTGTATTGATTTTATATATTATACAATGTGCACATTTTTACTTCAACATAAATGTTTGCATAATTCATTTTATCCTATTTTTGCAACAACATTTGTTTTTCTATATTTAAATAAATATTTGGATTCAATTATTTAAAAATCCCTTGGTACCACTTTACAATAAGACTACCCTTATAAAGGATTCATAAAGGGTTTATAATTAGGTTATGAATTAGGTTGTAAACACTTTATTAATCATTAAGAACCATTTATAAACCAGTTCTAACATAGTTTTCATACATCAACACAGGCTCACTATTTGGCAAGATGACTAAGCCTTATAGAGAGGCGAGGACCTTATTTCGGAAAAAGTATGTATTGAAGTCAATGGAGAGAGAAAGATTATCTTTCGATCCCGTTTGAATTGTGCCACGAATTACACATATGATGTTTGTCAATTTAAAAGATAATTTTACAAGTCAAACAAATAAAAATGTGTCGTAAAACTGTGAAGTAACACTTTTTTGTGTGTGCTCAATGAACTACATCTCCCGTCTCGCACCACACACCAAGACGGCCGTCACGTTGGCACATTTCACTTCTTTCTTTCAGAATGAGGAGAAAAGTATTAAAAGAGGTGAAAATCACTCCAAGTCTGGGCATGTTGAGAGCTGTACATACACACAAGGGGAGTTAGTCGGTTCATAAGAGCCAGCATGCGGGACCGGGATTCTGGGATTTGTAGTCTTTCTAGTTGCGTATTTTTCATAGTCTTATATTTCAACAGTTTTACGACAAACTTTTTTGACATGGAAATTATTATTTAAGATTGTCAAACATCATATGTGTAATTCGTGGCACAATTCAAACAGGATCGAAAGATAATCTTTCTCTCCCCATTGACTTCAATACATAATTTTTCCGAAATAAGGTCCCATGGGTCGGAAGTAGATGGGCGGGACTTCGCCTCTCTATATATTGGCTACCTAGCTTACTTCCTCTTCTTCCTCAGCCAGCATCCTTGGTATCTGTTGTTCACTGAGTTGATTCCCCCCCCCCTTCCATCTTGATGTTTCTTGGCATCTCTTATGACCATTTATTTACGAGTTACTAACATTTATAGTTGTTAAGAGTTACTACCATTTCTAATAAGACTTAGCAGTACAGATACATGTGGGCTCACTATTTGGCAAGAGGACTAAGCCTTATATTGGCTACTTAGCGAGAATCAACTCAGTGAGCAACAGACACCAAGGATGCTGGCTGATGAAGAAGACGAAGCAAGCTAGGTAGCCAATATAAGACTTAGCAGTACAGATAAATGTGGGCTCGTAAACCCTTTATACGGGTAATCTTATTGTAAAGTGGTACCAGTCCCTTTATTATACATTTTCACTTTAACTTCTAAGATTTATATACATATTTATAATCATATCTTTTTATAGCAAATGTTTACTTTAATTTCTTATGTTTAAATAAATACTTTATCCTTTATTGCAGATACAAAACATGAACTGCCTATGTTCATATCAATCATTTTATTTTATTCTAAAATGGAGCAACGGTCACAAAACCCATTTCCACCTAGGATAAATGAAATATTCTGATACTGAAACACTCGGTGTGTGTTGGTTTCTTACCCGGCTGTTGGCCGACTCGTACATGTCCCCCTCGACTTTCCGAGCGTACGCCACCAGGTTCTCCATCCGCCGGTCCTTCAGGGCGGCCGGATCAGGAGTGGGGAAGATTGCCTGCACACTACTCTCACACATGCACAAACAAGAAGGACACACAGATACAATTAACTTGAGGCAAGAGGATGACACCAGGTGCTGAATATTATCCAATACCACTGTCTATACTGTGCATATGGGATCCATAGTGAAAATACAGTATTTATACATATTCCAGCTTTTAAACTAAGTATATCTTTTCTCACTATCAGTATTTATTGTACTACACCTGCACATACTACGACTACTGTATTTGTACCCCTTGCTGTTTTTCAACACATTTTATTTCTTTAGTTCCCGGCTCTAGTGAGATATCCTGAGGGCGCATACTCACAGCTTGTGGACGAGGTGGTTTCGGAGGTCCTGTGTGATGTCTTCATGCCACGACTTCCTCATGCCGGGAGCAGAGGGGGGGGTCGCCATGGGCATCGAGCTCAGGGTCGCCAAACTATCACTCATCAAACTAGAACAATTACAGACAAGAAGGAAAGGAAGGAGTGAGCTTTCATCCGAAACAGAACACAGTTTGTCTTTGTTAATGTCCAATATAAGAAATATAAAAATGGTCCTACTTCTGTGCACTCATGCTGCCATGCAGCAGGGAGTTCGGCAGTAGACTCGACTGGTTGGGGGATTGCACCCCCACTCCACCATTCACTCCCATCGAGTTTCCACCTGGAAAGAGTTGTGAATATAGAGTTTGAAGGACGTGATTTTAAGTACGACACTATAAGCAGGCCCCGACTGCGTTATGGTGGAAACTGATTAACTCTTGTTTTGGAACAAGCCTTGTCTGATCTCAGATACGCCAGTCGTGTGTCCACCATTTGGGCAGACACAGAAATGTACTGAACAAGCTGTGACTGAGGGAATAAATGGCAGTCTAACAATCAGAGGGTCAGGGATTTGATATCATTCCCGGCAGTCAACATGTCGAAGTGTCCTTGGACAAGATACTTTACCCTAGATTTCTCTGTAAGCATGTCTACGGTTTTGAAGTGTATGCAAGTTGCTTTGAATCAAAGCCTCAGCTAAATAACATGTCATTTCATATAAGAATCACACACATTTCTAGTTGGTCATGTGATGATTTAGAGGGATTATCTACGAGTCAATAGAATGTTTTATAGGAAAATCCTTCTTATTCTGCCTTTAAGAGACACACTTATGTCCTGTGACGACACTTAAGGGAGTCCAATTATCTTATGAAAAACAGGAAATGCCTTTTAAAGCTGTCAAACATCTGTTAAGTGGCCCTTTGCGTTTATGTTTTCTTTGGCATAACTTGCTGACAGAAGATCAAGAATACAAATAATATTTTCTCAGTGATAAACCTAAAAATGTGATGTGGACAATTGTATTACAAACGAACCCATGGAGTTGAGGTTCCTCATCCCCGGCTGGCCCTGGTTGGACATGCTGCCCTGCGACGGCTGGGGGATCTGGTTCCCCTGGTACGTGAGGCCGAGGGCAGCGTAGGCTCTCTCGATGGAGCTGGGGTCGATCTGGTTGGGGGGGTTCAGGCTGGGAGAGTTGGACTGTCCACCGGGAACCCCTGAACCTAAAGAGTTCACCAGACCCACCCCGGCACTGTTTACAAGAGCTGAGAGGAGAAAGAGAGGAGAGGGGACAGAGCATGAGCATCTGTGGACAAATACTGTGCTGCATATATTTTAATGCACACTTTTTATTTGTATTAATCGTTGGTTTACAAATTTTCTTTTATATATTATCCTTTATTGTACACTTTAACATCTTATTTTATATACATTTTTATTCAAAAAATGGAGCAACTGTCCAAAAACTCAATTTAATATATAAATTGGGTTTATAGATCTTTTGTAATGATGATTTAATGATAAGAGTTAACACAGAGCGTGAGGAACACTCACACTGCTGATTCCTCTTGTCTCCAGCGTTTTTCAGCGGCAGGCAAACAGGACAGTCATGTCGTGTGCAATTCTTCCAATGAGAGATGATCTGTCTGGATGAGGCACAGTGAGCCACTGCGGGGGGGGATGGGGGGGGGGGGAGAGACAGAAATGGAGATCAGTTTCAGAAATAAGGAAGAGTCATGAAAAGGAGGGAGAATGAGTGATATGAGAAAAATGTGACAGTGAAGGAGGAATAAAGACGATAAGAGGGAGAAAATTCAGTAGAAAGAGAAGCCAGAGAATGAGTTACTGTATGAGTCACTCAGTGAAATAAAACTACATCCAGATGAGAGAGAGTACAGTAAAGAAGGGGGCTCAAGATCGAATAACTCATTTTGATACAACGAGAAACCAAGAGGGACATAAACAACACTCAAGCAAAAGGAAAAAAAAAATGAATTGCAGATACATGACAACGTTAAACGCTGCCCTTAGTGTTTGATATAAACCACACAACCGTAAAAGCAGCAATCATCATAATTCAAAGGACTCACCCTGGCAGGACTTGCCAGCCTGGCAGTGAGTCATGTGGTTGAGCACGTTCTTCATGGTGCGGCAGTGGGGCAGGTTGCACTGCCTCACTTCCCCGTTCGCCTGCTCCCTGCGCTGGCACTTGTGCGCGTGGAGCAGGAGGACCAGCTGCTGTTGGATCAGCTTCCGTTTCTCGGGGTCTGCGGTAGGGGGCGCTGCGCCGGGACCGGCCCCTACGGCACTGAGCCCGACCTGGGGGCCTCCCACCGCTGCTACTCCTCCGACGGATACACCACCCACCGCTCCGGACTGCTGAGACGCCTGCGGAGAGAGGATCGGGATCAGAATACCTTACTTATCGCAGAGAAAGGTGGGTTTTGTGAGAGTTGCTTCATTTTTAAAGCAGATGTGTGACTCAGTAGTTTGGCGTAAAGAAGTGGAATTCTTTGCCGAATGATTTAAAGGGCTGTGAGAACATTTTTGTGTTTAAGAAAATGTATAAAGAAAGCGTAATTAGATAGTATGAAGTTGACTGTTGATTGTGTTCTGGTTTTATGTTTCAGTAATTGTAAGCTACTGTGACTGAAAGAATATTGCCTTAATTTTACTTTTTATTGTAAGATTTTCTTCCCCCTGCTCCTTTCCACTAATACACTATAAAAAAAATCAACCAGTATAAGTGTACATGTTTTGTAAAGTGTACATGTTTTGTTTTAAAATAACTGCCATGTGTGGAATAAACAAATAAATAAACGTGAGAAAATGCATGCGACAGAGCATCCAGGAGAAAAGTTTGAATCCAGGAAACAAACAAACCGGCATCATTTCCAGAGACACGTGGTACCTTCATGTTGAGTTTACAGAATTGAACAGGGTGTTAATAACCTTCTGTGACTCACTGCCATCTGACAGGGACATTCTGACTTCTGCGGCATTTGATTAATCTCACTTCAAAAGGCGGTTTAATTTCTCTGAGGCAGGTAAGATTATTGCAGTGGTCATTTGATCTAATTCTTCACTATAATCCCATGCAATACAACAGTCCTGATGACCATGTATCTATTCAGAGGACTCAGGAACCCTTTGCATGGACTAGGAGCTTGTCAAAAAAAGATCTGGAAAGAAATGTGAAGTTTTAGCTCCTAGTAAATACATTAACTGCGTCTCTAAAGCATCATCAAGTTATCACTATGCGGCGGAAAGTTCATGGTTACGGGATTAGTTTGGTGACTTTCTGTCTAAAGTAGTCTAAAACCAATAATGAGTTGATCTCTAGAATATTTGCTCTTTACATGGGTTGACTCACTGTGTAAACAGTGTTTATAATCCTGTATGGAGGTGTGTTTAGCCATTGTCAAAATTCAAAGCGGAAATCACAAGACTTAAAAACAGAAAAGAATAATTGTAAATATTTGTAATGCCATATATCCGCACAGCCTCAGGATTTTAATACAAGTCAGTGTCGAGGTGAACATCCTCTGTTGCACCTGGCTTGTGTTTATAACTTACTGTATATTATTGTCCTTCTCTGTGACTCGTGTGCCCTTGACTGCCTCCCATCTATGTCAAGCACTACTCTGCTTGTGTTTTGAATTTCACTTTATATCTGTGCCTTCTTTCTTCTGTTACGTCCCTTTGAGGATGGCTTTGACCACTTGAGTCATTTGTTTTGGGTCCCTTTAAAGACTTGAGACTGATTATGTTTTAATTAGGGATGCGCCGATCGCCGGAATCAGTATCGGTCGATACCGATCACCGATCCGATCGAGTAGGTGGGGCCTATGGGGATCTTCCATTTAAAGTGATGTTTAAAACTCAGTTAATGGGGCTCATTCACTGGCGCTTCCACAAACAACAACCAACATATCGACCGATCGATCGGAGCATCCCTAGTTTTAATTTATACAATTTGAGACTTCATTTTGAATGTAAAGGTCCCCTATTATACTGTTTTTCATCAATATATTGCAGGTCTCAGATATATACAAACATGTCTCTGAAGTGTTTGTCTCCAAACACCAAACAGATCATTGCAGCATCCCATAATCCCCTCTGTTTCAGCCCTGTTTCCAAAGTGCTGATTCTCTGTCTGTTACTTTAGATGAAAATAATGAGCCCCTCCCCACGCCCCTCGGAGAGATATTTGGTTACAAAGAACACAATGGTGCTCTAGGAGGAGATTCAGGTGATCAGGTGATAAGGTTGGGGGGGGGGGGGGGGGGGGGGGGGGTTTACCTTGGTTGCTGATTGGCTAATGGTGACACAAGCCAAAACATTGTTATGACATCATAAAGTGGCCAAAATCTGATCAGCTCATTTTCAGACAGGTTTTTATATAAATGGATCAGGACAAAAAGAGAGAATCTTTTTTCCTGAAACTTTCAGAGTCTCTTTCCACAGAGGGGACACATGTTGATGTAGAAGAGACATGAAGAAGTGGATTTTGCATAATAGGTCCCCTTTAACATAATATACATTTAAGCAGAAAAAAACTGATCTTACCATCCCAGGCATGCCTTGACCCGGCGGTGCCTTCTTGTCCATGTTGAATTGAGCGGCCATATTGTTTGGCATCCCCGCCTTATTCTGGAGCTGAGGGCCCAGCCCTGCTCCAGGAAGCCCCTGGCCAGCCTGGCCGTACGGACCGCCATAGGGGCCCGCGTTGGCCATCATATTCATCTGGAGAGAGAAGAGAGGGGGACAAAGAGAAATGAGAAAGAGGAGAAGGGAATGGATCATTTAGAGATCAAATAAATTACTTTGACAATCTTTAAAGCATTATTTAAGTAGCAAGTCAAGTGATATTCCATTTTCAAAGATGAAATATGCGAAGTTTTACAATGTGTTCTTACATTAGTTAACTACAAATACAACTATCACTTTAAAACTGTTCTAAAATTGCTGCGGCAGTGCAAAGGATACTTCTTGGAATTACTTTACAGGTACTACAGGTAAATATTCCTTCATAATGAGTGACAGTATTAATTCCCCTTTGCCTGGCCTTACTTTAATCTCCACAGTGAATTAATGGTAGTACAGTTACAATGTAAATGCCACTTTTTATGGTTCAGAAAAAGGTTACCATCTATGGTGTAAGATTCAGCTTACATTTTTCCAGCCACTTCCGTATATGCCCAAACTTTTCCTTATTTTAAAACAGCAAATACATTTTAACTACAAAGAACTTGAGATTTGAGTCAAGACAGGAATCATTATTAGTAACACCTACCGTTGGATTTCCACCGACTAATCTTATTTGTTTCTTTCTATACAATTAATGGAGGTAAATCAAACTGTCCCTACAGCTCATAATTTATAGCATTGAACATGGATAACACATACTTTACATGCTTAAGTTAACTACAGGACATTAGTTTTAAAAAAATCCGGTGCTTGCCGGTGCACCACCAAAGAGTTATGCTACTAGTTTGGCTGAATTATTTAACACAGTGGTTTGGTGTATTGTCTTCACACCTTCAATCAAAACTATCCTGTGGCATATAAAGGAGGTTAACCATCGATACCACAGAGCAGTGAAGCAGCGTAGAGTCCAACAAGCAACCACACACACTACTGTTTACTACAGGTTCTACTACAGGTTCTACTACAGGTTCACTTAAGTCTACAGCTTCACATGAGTAAATGGCTTTTAGAGGGAATTTATCATCATCATCCGTTTTCATTTATTTGACCAAACAAAGAAAGCCATTAAGAACCACGACATTTCCACCATAGTTTTGCTACTTTTTCAATATATTACGTATAAATGTATAGTTTAGTTGATTGTACCAGATAATCCTTAATAACATTTGTATTTAGCTGATGCTAAAGTAACTTACAATAAGTGAAATTAACCATGTAGATAAACTCAAAACAGCCAGAAACCTACAAAATGCATGCTCCCACTCGTCCCAATTGGAGTTATGACATATTGACCAATATTTGTAATTCCTATTTTGTAAATGTTGTCAAAATAAAATACATTACAATATCCTTTATAATTGACTCTTGATAATGCCACATTTCAAATGTAAAAGAGCATTTTTATTTTCGAAAAAAAACTACATGTAGGTTTTCAGCAGTGCACCAAAACCATAATCTGTTGAGGCCGGCATTTAAAACATTTTAAACTCAGTTTTAACCAGAACTTAACATTTGCAATGTGTACTTACCTTGTTCAATGCTCCGGGTTGCTGCGGTCTCATCCCTGCCTGACCCCCGGGTCCCATTTGCTGCCCGCCCTGCTGCAGGGTTTCCGCCAACAAATTACTATTGTTACCCATGCTCCCATTGCCAGGGTAACCCATTCTTGGCGAGCCGTTCATCACCTGCCCCCCCATCAGACCTTGCTGCTGTCCAGTGTTGCCCTTCTGGGCATTCATCATGGCAGCTGCCCGATTGAGAGCTGCCACCCCTCCACCCATCCCAACTTGCTGCATTAATCCAGGCTGCTGTCCCTGGGGGGGCATGCCTTGTGGTCCACCAGGGGAGACACCCCCCATCATCCCAATGGAGGCCCCGGGTCCTGTGCTGTTGGATGTGGGGCCCCCCTGCTGTGCGGGTGCACGCAACAGCTCCGACAGCTGTTTGTGTTTGGCAGCAGCATCATGGCCGCCCAAACCCAGTCCTCCTCCGAGACTGCCGAGGCTGGTGTGGAGTTGACTGACATCCCCTCCGTTAGTCAGCCCCAAGTCCGACGAGTTGATGAGCTCATCGGGGAGGTCGTGCTCCAGGTCGAAAAGTGAACCGAAATCTAAGCACAAAAGAAAATAAACTTTAAAAACTAGAAAAAAATAAGGTTCACACAGCTCAGGAAATTTAGGATTTGCACTGCATACATTTTTTAAACCCAACTTAAATTAAGTGAAGTTAAATGCTGACATTATTTTGAAAACCATTTCATTTGTAGCCCATAGCTGGACAGCCAGTGCAGAATTAGCTTCCGCTCAAAGCCTGGATTTCTCTCCTGGGCATCAGCTTGTGGTTTGATGGGGTGCCAAACATGGAGAGTGAACGCAGTAGGGTCGGGGTGGGAAGCCGCAGAGAGTAAACATTACAGTACCTAGGGTAGGTGTGTGCATTGGATCTACAGTCATGTGGTGCAAGAGCATTAAACAGAAAAGTGTCAGAAGTCATTTCCACTGGACAGCAAATGGGAACGTTGTTGACGAAATATATAAAAATCATACACATTTTTCTTAGTAGACGTTTCATCCAGCAGAAGAAAGAAATGCAGTGATAGCTCTACTTTGATAGTGAAAACCCAGGTTAAAACATAACCTGCATGTTTAGTTTTATTGCATGTATGATGGCTTTTAGCATGCATTTGAGTTGTTGACCTCATGCATTTAGAGAATTTACTGCATTAGGGGCCTAGATACTTAAGGAAATGTCACATGTTTCAAACTTGACATTTACATAACTTACTTTGCAAGCTTGTACGGCCACCAAACATTGCAAAGTTGAAATAAAGTGTAATAAACAAAAGCAGAAATACTACCTACGTCTTCATGCAATTCTGTGTCTTGTTCAGTGGTAGAAGTACATTTACTCAAGTACAAAAGTAAGTTACTTTTATCTTCCTTGAGTATTTTCATGGTATCCTACTTTATACTTTTACTCTACCAATTTTGTAGGCAAATGTTTTACTCCACTACAATTATTTTTACAGATTTAGATACTAGATACTTTGCACATTTAGATTATAAATACACAATTTAAATCCACTCATTTATGTATGTTTACCATCATAGGATAAGCTACCTAGCATTACATAAAGTGATTCAAATAAACCCCACTTTTACCAAGTACAACATTGAAGTGATCAATCATTATAATCTAATCATTTAAAATAGATATTGTGCTTGAATGTGCCATTATGCAGTACCTTTGCTTTTGGTCAAGTATATTTAGATGCCAATAACGTTACAATACCTTACTTTTACTTGAAACAGAGTACTCCTATTCTGTGGTATTTCTAATTTTACTTTAGTACAATATATGAGTACATTTATCACCTCTGTATTTAATGATATACTTTTCTTTTTTTTCTACTTTCCAGAAAGCGACTAAACCAAAGAAATATCTAAATTATCATGCATGTCTCGTTACAAATACATGCAACAAGAGGAAGCCATACGTGTACAGCTTCTGCTTCAATATGTAGAAATGAATTAGTTTTCAATTAAAGTTTAATTCCTAACAAAAGGGAACCGTATTTAACAGTTAAATCGTTTTGAAGAGTAAATGCAGAAAGTGCAGCGCCGAGTCAACGTGCAGTGAGTCAAACAATGGAGGATGAACAAGAATGGGCTTCGTCGGTTGACTACAATTGAGAATCTAAAAGCCTTTGAACAAAAACACATGAAAGGAAATGTTTCGAAGACGGCACATCGAGTTCCCCCTTTCATTTAAAAGCTTCAAAAAGTAAAACATGTACACACTGCTGTTTAATCGGCAGGGAAACAACGCTTTGCGCAACTTTGTGACGAACAATAGCTACGACAATAGTTCGCTAAAAACAGAGCAGCGGCTAACAACACGTGAAGCACACGACATTTCTCACCACAAACGGGTTTATTTCCACTATATAAAGTATTGGTTCGCACAGAAAATGAGTCTTATTGAACAGAATGAGGTTTTGTTGGTGAAAAATCACTTATTTTCTTTGCTAGCTTCGAGCTCAGCTGAGCCGGTGGCTAGTTAGCTTAGCTAGCTCGGTAACCGTTACTTTATCACAAAGCTAATTCAGGAAACGGTGCTGTGTTACTACTTTAATGGAGAAACTATAACGCCTGGTGTTTAATGAGGAGTATGTGCTCTCATGTTTTCAAATTAATCAACTTTTAAAAGTAGTAAGACAACTTGAAGCAAACTGGGGTGACTCTGCTCTTCCATTGTTTGGAGATGGGTCTAATAGTTGGTGGCTAGTTAGTTAGCATGTTGAAGCTAACGCATCAAAACACCCCTGCAGGAAAGTTGCTCCTTTTCTTTTTCACAAACCAAACTCTCAGTTTAGCCTTTTTCTACACATAAATAAAGTAAAAGTTCTGGAGCGGCTGTGTCAGTTAAGTTGCTGTGTAACTCTGCAGGGACTCAACAGACCGATCCTAAATTAACACACAGTTTGAGCTGTTTTATATGTTACCTCCAGCTAGTTAGCTAGCTAGCTCAGTAACCGTTACTTTCTCCTAAAGCTAATTCAGGAAACGGTGCTGTGTTTCTACCTTTAGGTAGACAATATAACGCATCCTGTTTAGTGAGTGTGTGCTCTTATGTTTCAAATAGATCAACTTTCAAAAGTAGTAAGACAACTTGAATCAAACTAGGGTGACTCTGCTCTTCCATTGTTTGGTCTAATAGTTAGTGGCTAGTTAGCTAGCATGTTGAGGCTAACGCATCAAAACATGCCTGCAGGAAAGTTGCTCCTTTTCTTTTTTTACAAAAACATCTCACAGACTAGCTTTTTTATCAACAAAGCTACAAATAAATGTGCATTTAAAAGCATTAGTTCTTGAGCAGCTCTGTGTCAGACCAAGTTGCAGAGTAACTCTGCAGGGACTCCAAACACATTAATGAACACACATTGGGAGCTATTTTATATTTTATCTGAAGCTAAGTTAATGCATGCAATATATTTACCGTTTCCATCACTGGCAGACACGGAGAGGGCTGGAGAGGACAGCTTGGGCCTCTTGGCTGAAGGCGGGCCGGACTCCAGGACATTATCGGCCATATTTTTGTCGAATTAAAAAAAAAAAGCTGTAGATCCACGGAGGGGCAAACGTATTTCCTTTTAATTTGCGTCTCCTTTTCCCTTTAAGAAATGGTCGTTCCCCCACCGCTTGGGGGGACGGTAGGGGAGAAGAGAGCAATGTTGAACTCTTTCCTCACCCTCTCGGTTTATTCCTCTCTGCAGCTATCAGTCCCCCTCCCCTTTCGGAGATTCTGTTTCTTCACTGATTTCAACAGGAGGAGGTGGGAAGGTGGAGTCGGCGAAAAAGGCAAGCGTGTGCGGCCCCTCTGACAACCTCATGTAGCCTCTTCTGCGACACAAAAACTGTCCAAAGATCCGTCCTCCGTGCTGCTTTCAGTCCTTTCCGCCATAGTCGGCCGGAGAAAGCCTGTAATTTCAGCTCTGAAATGGGGAGTCTCGATCAGGGCACGAAAAAAAAAGATAAGCAAGCTCCAAAAAACACAAACCAGGAGGGTTAACTTCTGCAGGCCGTTTTCCTCATGCAACAGTTATGAGATCCACGGTTGCATTTACTATTTCTTTCACCTGACTAGACATCTCACTTAATTTTGCAGAGTAGAAGTAGCTCTCTAATACAGTTTAAAGAAGTACTCAGTACAATACTGAGAATCTTGCATTGGCTTAACAGAAACTGAATAAATACTATAACAGTTCTGCAGAAAGAAAGTCCCACACTTGCAGTTACTCAGATAGGAGAATATATAGCAGATGTCCATGTATGTCTTTTCTTTTGCATGTGCATGCTGACAAAAAAATGTGCACTTAGTGTTTGACCACGCAAGGCACTGGGTCAGGAACTCGTATTGCACGTTTGGTTGTTGCAACCCCCTTTTTCCTCTTGCAGAGCAGCAGGGTTGGCAAAATAGAAAATCTTGTCAGAAAAAGCACCGTGCAATCGATCCTGATGCAGAATGTAGTTCTTGGACTTCTTGTGGGCAATCACAGCGTCTAATTGGCAATCAGCGGGCAGTCAGATTGATCCAATTAGTTTTTTATTTTTGCAGAGGTTACTTATCTTGTGCTCCACAAGAGGTTTCCTCCTCTGGGTTTCCCTTGGTTTTTAGCACTTGAAATCTAAAAAAAAAAGATAAATATTCCCCAAAAATTAGCTGTCACTCACTGCTTTATAGGATGCAAGTGAAGAGAAAAAATAAACCGGAGCACAGCTTGGGCGACAGGCGAAAATGTGAATTAAAAAAATGACGATTGGTCGCAAAAAAAAAAAAAAATTATGGCTATTTCGGAAGCGGAAAGATTCAGATCGGTGTTGACACCTAGCTTTAAAATATTTTGCACTGACCAAAAAATCCTCTCATTTACTCTTTGTGATGGAGAAATGCCCCCCCTTCGTGTTGATCCTGGCAATTTTCCCCCTTCTCTTTAAACCCGTCTTTCTTTCCACCTCTCCCTTCTGCCCGGCAGCAATTTATTTATATAATTGTCTATGCGGACTCTTTCCTTCCTCCGCGACGGACACATAGTGAATTTTCATGTTTTCCCTTTTTTCGCAGTTTTTTTTCCTCCTTATAATAAGATATATTGCGCTCTTCCGCCTCTCCTCTCTGTCTCCGCTCCGCAAAACACCCCCTTCCTTGGATTTGGAGTATTTCCTTCTCATGCATACATATATATATATATCACCGACTCGGTTTCCCTCCACGGTGATGCTTTCTCTCTCTTAGAAACACGGACAGGTTTTCTCCACTCTTTCTTTCCTTCCCGGTGTGGCTGGCCGTCGGTAGCCGGAGAGTCGCTCCTTCCTCTCGGTTATCTCCTCCTGTTTCTGACGGTCTGTCCGCACAAACAAAATGGCGGCTTGTTGTTTCTACTCCTCTGATACGGGGGGGAGGGTTGGAGGTACAGCAACATTAGGCGTGAAGGGGAGGAGGGAGAGGAGGGAGGAAGAGGGGAGGTTTGTCTTCGGAGGGGTTCGGGAATGTCCGGAAACCGGTTCCGTGATTTTACGGGTTTCAATCGGTTTCAATCTGTATAAGAGAGTGTTGCTCCGTGTTTCTCTTCCTCACACAAACAGTAACTGAGGTGGAAGAAGTACCACAATCTTGTACTTCAGTAAAAGTACAAATACTATGGTCTTAAAATACCCCATTACAAGTAAAAGTACAAATCCTATGGCCTGAAAATACTCCATTACAAGTAAACAGTGGGGTTACTAATCTACTCAAGTAGGCCTACTGTACTTAAGTAAAATGGAGGTACTTTACTTGAGTATGTACACATTATATTACGTTATACTTTTACTCCACTAAAACTTTTTGTTGGCAAATGTTGAACTTTTTCCCCCACTACATTTATTTTACATATTTAGTTACTTTGTAGATTTAGGTTAATACAAATCGACACATCATACATTATTCTAGGCTAGTTACCCAGTAGTGTACATAGATGAATTCAAATAATCATTATTATATTACTTTACTCTACTTTCTGTAGGGGACAGTGGCGCTCCATGAATCTCTTCCTCACACAAACAGCAGAGGTGGAAGAAGTACCAAGATCTTGTACTTCAGTAAAAGTCCAAATACCCAGATCTGAAAACACTGTAACACAAGTCCTGAATGCAAAATGTTAATAGAAGCACAGAAGTATTGTCTAAAAGCAGTGTTAGATCCAGATCCAGAATACTTAATTGTCCATCAGATTTACATATAATGGAAATATGTCTTTGGCACTGGCAAACAAGATAAAATAACATCATAATTAGTACAACATACAATTCCAGAGGTGGAAGAAGTCTGCAGATGGTGTACTCAAGTACAAGTAGAAGTGCCAGAGTTAAGGAATACTCTGCATTTAAAATGTTTCTCAAGCAAAGTTAGAAAAGTATTATCATCAAAATATAGTTAAAGTACCATAAGTGAAAGTACTCATTCTGCAGATTGGTCCAATTCAGAATAATATATATGTTTTGATTATAATTATTGATGCATTAAAGTGTTATCAAAGCTGGTAAAGGTGCAGCTAGTTTGAATGACTTTGTATACTGCAGGGTAGCTTGTGAATTTACTCCAGGTGGAACTAAAGTCTGATTTAACACTTGATTATATTTCACATCATTCATCCAAATCTGTCAAGTAACTAAAAGGTATTCAATAAATGTAGTGGAGTAAAAGTATACCATTTACCTCTGAATTGTAGTGGCGTAGAAGTACAAATTCACAATATTATATTTTTATATAATATTACATTGACCTATTTTTATCACAAAAAAATAAAAGACAGGGCACTTAAATGTTGTAGTTTGTAAATGTGGAGCCATTTGTATGTGTTTATATGTTTAAATAGTCTCTAAGTATAGTACTTGAGAAAATGTTCTGGGTGGTTACGTTCCACCACTGTCAACAACAGTTGTATTAACAGTGGTGAAAGAAGTACTCATATCCTTAGTAGAAAAAACTATGGTCTTAGAATACTCCCCAACAAGTAGTACAACTCCACAAGAAATAAAACGTACTTAAAAGTATCACAGGGAGAAGTAGACTCTTTTCCCAACATTATCCATCCCAACATTATATAAAATCACATCATCGTGTTTCTATTACTGCAATGTTGAGCCAATTTAAGTTACTTTTTGAAAAACTGGGTGCATTCCTTAACAATAATTTCCCTTGTTTTTGAATGAAAGTAAAATAAAAGGCATGCATTGGCATAAACAATTTGACGAGATCTTTTTAATACGTATACACACACATTTCTTTAGAATATATCACATTTTTCTCTCTCTTGAAAAGACACACAACACACACACACACACACAATGTTTTCAGTTAATTGGACTCACCATTACAATAATTTCATGTTCATTAGGGGAAGTTGTTTAAGACAGGTTCATTTTTAATTCTCACTTGTGTGCATTAACATAATAGACTTTATGATCTGTCTGCAGCCTAGGGAGTGGTGGTTGGTGTTTTGACATTTTGTAATGGGAAATAATCATTTGTGTGAAGTTCCTTTTTACCCCAAAATGAACACGTGTATGCAGGTACTGTACACACATGAAAAAACTGCTCAAAATAGTCGTATTAGCCTTTTCCCATTCACAGTGGATGTGTATGCCATTCGGTTTTTTCTCCTGTTGTGTCACCCTGTTTGAGTAGAAGACATTAAGTGGAAGTTTGAGGTATTAATCATAATAATGTACTTATTATACCCTATTGCCTTCAACACAAGTCACATAGCATTGTACCTAAAAAGGTTTTTGAGATACACAACAACATCATTATATCCCTGTGTGCCATGATGATGGTAATACTGGTAATAAAAACCATACTGGTTAGGAGCAAATGGGTTTTAAGGATGAAGATGAGTCCATGGTAGCTTGATCTAACCACGGAGTCTTCAGCTGAACATAAACTTGATGCAAGTGGTTAACAGTTGTTCCTAGATTCTTTATTTCTAGCTCTGGATGACATTTCCCAGCTGATAGCACCATCACAACACTACATGGTCGTATTACACATTTGTAAGAACGGTGGTTTTGCTTAAGCTGCCGTAGCCCTGATTTGTAATTACATTTGAACAAGAAATACGTCTGTTATGGTGAAGTATACATGCGTAGGCTCCATAGCCACATCATAACCCCCTGATAGTTTAGGATTTTTGGAAGTGGGATTGGATGAAGAACTTATCCATAGTCATAGTGTATTAGCTACAGTAGATGGTTATCGACTTCTATCTATCTTATCTGATCAGTTACCACCGCCTTGTTAAGTTTGTTTACTTGTGTCATTGTTCGACTAACCAAAAACGAACCAAACAAACTGATCAAGGCAGTAATAGACCAACAGCTTTCGTATTTCGCTAAGTTAAGTTAGTTTTTAATCAAGTTTTCAATCAGGTGGCTCCTGTGTCCTTACTCCTGTCTTTTTCTCTAAACTTTGTCATCGACTGTAGGTATCACACCAATTATGGCTAAGCAGTACGCTATGCAAACCAACTTCAAACTATTCCATACACACAACTAAACCCACCCTTTATCCTTTATACCTCTTCATAATCACTCACTGTTGAAGACAAATACGATCCAGTTAGAAAGACGTCAACATATATGATCTTCCACATCATATTGTCTGTATTTTGGAGGCCTTGCTGAGGCTAAAACCAGAGTCTTTGCAATGTGCTCCCACCTTTCATGTACCTGGGCCCTGAGCCGGATGATGTCATCACGGTGGAGACGTTTGGAAACTCCCAGCTCACAGAGGAAGTGTCTCACTTTGTCACCTGTCTGTCTCTCCCTGCCTTTATCTCTGGGCGCAGGCTTTCTCTACATCAGCGATGGTCTTTGGTGCGTCTGAGGACAGAATCAGAGCGCCTCCCTTGTCTCGGATCACCACGTCGTCCTCTATCCTGATGCCCAATCCACGGAAACGCTTAGGCACCTGGTCGTTGTCCTCGGCTATGTACAACCCTGGGATAAAAGAAGGAGGAATCAGAAGTCCTTTAGTCGTCCCACAGAGAGGAAATGTATAGGAAAGCATAGATAGTGACGAAGAACACTATAAAAAGGCTTTCACATAGTATTTAAAATGAAAAATATTACTGTTTAACAGAGTATGCAGGTAGATAAGTAAGTAGCAGGAGTACTTATAAAATATAATAAGTGTAGCATTGTAGAATGAAGTGAGGTATATAACAGTAGTACAATTATTATTATTGCACATAGTTACGTAAAGATTCTTGTTACAGTAATGGATGGACTAACTAGGAGTAGCATCCATTAGTAATAATAATATTAGCAGGAACATATTGCACATAGTGTTGTTTTAGGACAGTGGTGTCATAGTCTTTGTTTTTTATATTATTGCACATGGGTGCTAACAGAAGTGTTAATAGTCATTTTTGATTAGAAGAAGCAGGAATAACGTGAAAGATAAAATGTAGAAAAGATAATGTGTAATGTGAGAGTCAGTTCCTCCAGCACAGTAACTGGATTGTCTTTTAGAATAAGCCAAAGACTAAACGGCTATTAAAAAGGGTAGTTTGTGTAAACCTGGTTCTATGGTGATGGCCATCCCCGGCTGCAGAGGTTGTGAGCGGGACAGCTCAGGAGTGTCGTGGACGTCCATCCCCAGGTAATGTCCAATGTGGTGGGGGCAGTACCGCCGTGCAGCCTGGGTAAACACATGTAAAGCTTGATACAGTTGCATAAAGGTTGGTCATTGTATAGTCCTATACCAGACCTGATTTGCTTCTAAACATTAAGGAAGTGAAATTAATGGGGGGTTACTGTCATGAGTGAGCCTTGTCAAATCACTTTTTAACGACACCAATGAGCACAAATGAATCAAGAAAGCATCTAAACAAGAACATTACAAAAGGTGAGCACAAATTCCAACATGCAAATCTGGGGAATCTATCATATTTTATCTCTTTTGCACTATGTATGAATGTGTTAGAATCAAAAGTGTGTACTTGAATTTCAAAATAATCATTGTTGAATGTTTAAGTCACAGTTTACCAAAATGTTTGACTTGGGTTAAGCTTTGAATTAGCTTTCGTCTAAGGCTAAAGGCACAAAGTAGGGTTTTTTCTGTGGTTCTACATCGACAGTCTACAAATCCTCAGCCATGCTCACAATGACCATGCTAACCTGCTGATGTTTACAGGTGTAATGTTTTCCATGTTCATCATCTTAGTTTACACTGTTAGCATTTGCTAATTAGCACTTAACACACAGTTCACCTGACAGTTATGGGATTTGATCAGTTAAGCAGCAATTGAGTCATAAACAAAGGTATTAGAGACATTGAATGTTGGACCTTACAACAGTTGTTACAATTCATAATTGAATCAGGGAAATATATTTCAATTAACATTTTGCAATTTAAAAAGACTGTATATGTGTGCATGTGGCTGTGAATAAATGGTTTGTAGAGTAAAATATGATCTTGTGCTTCTTATTCAACAGAGACCTTTTATTCAACTTAAAGGAAACCTATCATGCTATATTTAAATGATATATTGTAGGGCCATACCTATATAAGGTATATTTATACGTTTCTGTTTTCAAAATACCAAACAGATCATGCATTTTAGCCATGCCTCATTTCACTCTATGTGCTGTTTGCTGTCTACGGGTCTGATTCTGCTGACCACGCCCCCCTGCAGGAGAGGTGAGCCGTGCTCTGATCAGCTGCTGGGCTGTCAGAAGAGGGGGAGAAAAAGAGATCTCCGTCCTCCGTATTTTATTATAAAGAGTCGTTATTCATTTGTTTTAAAGCTCAATAAATAACAAAGAAGACCTTTGACCGGCACTTTTCAAATTTTGTCCGGAAGATTTAAACTTTAACGGACATCTTGACCGGCGAAACAAACTGAAACTGAAACTTTGCCGCACTCTGCCCTCGTTCCTTGGAAGAGGCTGAGAGGTGGGTGTTGATCATCTGCTGGTGGACTAACCGGAGAGAATTACAGTGCTTGCCTCGACGGGGAGGGATTGCATTGCGGGAGCAAACGCTTGCCTCAGGGAGGGAGAAAGAAAGCCACAGCGGAGAATAAACAGAAGGGTAACCATGGTAACCAAGTCTTCTTCGCTGCTTTTGTGGCAGACTACAGCGCCAGTTACAGGCCTGGCATATGTACTACAGCGTCTCCAGCGCTTTCGAACGGCAATGGCCGTGGCTGTCTCCTCCTGATTGGTGGAGTTGGCCCAATAGCCGTAGCGCCACTGTCCTGACGTCAGGACAGTGTTCAAATCTGGATCAGTTTTTATCAGATCCGTTGCAGCCCCTTTTTTAGAGATTTGGGTATTGGAAAATAGAGAGGGTTGTGTTTTCTGACACTTGGTGAGTTCCCTGGAACACCGGGGACACATATTCATGTATAAAAGATGTACAAAAGTGCATTTTGCATGATAGGTCCCCTTTAAGGAGCAGCTGAATATTTGTATCTGGAAAACATAACTTTGTTGTATAGTTAATCATCTGCAACTCATCCTGAGAATTGTGTTACTTGCAGCAGCTTCGTTTTACAAAAAGAAAACAAGCACAATTTGATTCTTATTTTCCACAGAATTGCTCTTCATATTGGATAAAGCATAATGTTTACCAGCCAGACTCCATGCCATTTCTATTTCTCTGATTCTTACCTTCAGTACATCATCCTCACTGCTGCTGGCCTTCACGACGCCGAGCCTCCTGAGCTGTCGCCCCAGCAGAGCCAGCATGCTGCTGTAGATGTGATCCAGACTGACGCCCGGCGAACACATGGACAGACAGGAAAGCTGTACCTCCAGCACCGCCTCGTACAGCTCCGCCTGCGCAGGGCTGAACCTATGGGGAGAAGGTATTTAACTTAAATCAATTCTGTATAAGTGAACTCAACTCCACACCATGTATAACACAAGTCTAGTCATATATATTTCATGCAAAGGTGTTACATATGATATATTTAAGTGTGTGTTTGTTGATGTCATCAGAATACTTCTTAAAAACACCTTTCAAAAAGGTTCCCAAATGTAGAGACATAAAAAAAACTATAAAGCTAACAATACACAACACAATACTACCTAATAATATCCAATAAGATACAAAAATAAAGCAAAGCTAAGCGTAATGTGCAGGTTTAAGAAACAGGGGGTGAGTTCTGATGTAGGGATCAGATGGATTTCAGGTAAAGCTCTGCCTTTAGAAAACAAACATAGTGAAGGATGTGTACTCTCTTATACTTGTCTTTGAGGAGCACAATTAATTGCTTATTTTGACAAACTTACTTTCCATTCACTGGCCATGTCCGAGTGATATCACTGACGTAACCAAAGTATTCACAGCCTCCATCGAGCAGCACCATCTCACCATCCTGACGGAGGAGAGCAGAGTCAGTAAAGCTGTTCAGTTATTACTGTATATAAATAATAACATGCTATACCTTGATGATCTGGTTGTTGTTGATGTAGTGCAGAGTGTTGGCTCGGTTTCCCCCGGCAACGACAGGCGGGTAGGCCAGGAAGTTGGCGCCATGGATCCGATTCTCGAAATCAAACTGGAAGGATGAAATCACCTTGTGAGCTTCATGCTAGCTGTCATACACTGTCCGACTAAATGAAACTGCTCCATGCTGCCAACTTTAATTTATTTACCTGATTCTTCTATATTTCAGTTGAATTTGCACTTTTTAAAATAATAATTATCCTGTTATTCCACTTGATTGTAAAGCAATTCAAACTACACTTCCTGTACGAAAGGTGCTATATCAATAAAATAAATGAATAGAGTTTATTATAGACCTTTATTTTATTTAAAAAAGGTATAACTTAATGGCATATTGTGTAATTCCTGTGGACATTTTAATTTGCAGTATGGACAAAACAAAGCTTTAAAAACAAACCTCAGTAACTGCACTGTTACCTACCAGGTCAAGTCAAAGCTAGCTTGAGCCATAACAATGAATACATCTAAATAATTGATGTGTCTTTATTTAAATACATGCTATAAAATGACATCTTGATTATACTGTTAAAAAATTAGCGGTTATACATTCTGCTGATAAAAACTAAATATCTTTAGATACCTTAGCAAAGATCACAGCTTCATCCACGTCTCCTCGACACATGGCCATCGTTCTCCGAAAAGCCTGAAAGAATTCAGTTACATGGATTTCAAAAAATGTAAAGGGAGAGTGTAACTTAAAGGTCACCTGTTATACTTTTTTTCATCAATATATTATAGGTCTCAGATATGTACAAAACATGTCTCTGAAGTGTTTAGCTCCAAACACCAAACAGATCATTGCAGCATCCCATAATCCCCTCTGTTTCAGCTCTGTTTCAAAAGTGCTGATTCTCTGTCTGTTACTTAGTTTAGATGAAAATAAGGAGCCCCTCCCCACGCCCCTCTGATGTCCCTTTCACACCAACGCGGTTCCCGTTCTAGCTCCGTGCTTGCGCTCTTCTGGTTTCGGAACCAGTTTTTATTTTCAGCCCCCGTTTTGTTCACACCGCCCAGAGCCCGACTGGTGCTGCCGCTGCTGCTTCATGACGTCACCGTTTACGTTGCTGATTTTCTCCCCAACGGCGCTCACAACAACAACAATGGGGGACTGCGTCGGGTCGATGATCGTGTTGCTTTTAATCATTTGAAGCCAGATTAAATTAATTAACTACTTCTCAACCTTATACTTTTCTCCAGAGTGCTGTGGTTCATTGTTTATTAATATGTTGCAGCGGCATTTACCGACCGCTGCAGTGCTGCCCGCTGTTTGGCATCACAACGCTGTTATGAAAGTTTCTCTGGTATAAAATGGGTGATGTTAGCATAGCAACCGAAGCTAAACTGACTATCTTGACTACTTGTTGCTATCCTATTGTGGCATAAGCCGTTTTCTACAGGCACATTTTACCGACGTATTTTTCATTACGATTCTACTTGTGATAGTCGGACATGACAACCTGTGCAGCCCATGTATTGATTCCATCCGATAGCTGCTATAATACAAAACAAAACGTCTGCCTGCTCTCCACAATGATCAATAACAGCGAACGGATGGTCAAAGTAAGGTACAAATAAACAGAATCACACGAAGCCTGGTTAGTGTTGCCTGACTTTATAAAGTGTGTTTTTTTTAATAAGCGTGTGGTTGCCTTCTAGTCACTTTGCTCAGCGCTACTGCTTGATACAACTTTCATTTGCCGTACTCGCCATAAACTGTTATTGCTCAGGTTGATCCCGCCCCTGCCCCCGCCTCTGACGTAAGCGTGACGTATGCGGTTCTTGCTTCTAGACCGACAATTTTTTGGAGCTTGGTAAGAACCGGTTTTCGGGGGAAAAGAGCCGGCTCCGCTGCGGTGTGAACAGGAAAAAACGGTGCTTATCAGGCTCTAGCTCCGAACCGGCCCTGGAACCGCGTTGGTGTGAAAGGGGCATGAGAGATATTTGGTTAAAAGGAACACAATAGTGCTCTAGGAGGAGATTCAGGTGATAAGGTGTGTGGGGGGGGGGGGGGGGTTACCTTGGTTGGTGATTGGCTAATGGCTACACAAGCCAAAAAATCGTTATGACATCATAAAGAGTCCAAAATCTGATCAGCTCATTTTCAGACAGGTTTTTATAGAAATGGATCAGGACAAAAAGAGAGAGAATCTTTGTTCCTGAAACTTTCAGAATCTCTTTACACAGAGGGGACACATGTTGATGTAGAAAAGACATGAACAAGTGGATTTTGCATAATAGGTGACCTTTAACAATATATGTTGTTGAAAATGTTGCCTTACCTGCAGGCTTTTATTGGTAATTCTATAAAGTTGACACTGAGTAATTTACACACACTAACCTGTGCACTGATGTGACCTGCTTCTTGCATTAGTGCCACCTCAGCGGAGCTCTTGACGGCCCTCAGAGAGTGGACGAGGGGCCGGAGGGAGTGAGGCATCGGCCCCTCGTCCAGCAGGGGGCCCACGTGAGCCTGATGGAGCCGAGGGTGGGCCGGCTGAGAGCTGTCGTACCACAGCACAGTGCCTGGAAGAAGGAGAAGAGAAAGTGGTAACAATTAAGTTATTGTTGTTAAGTTGTAATCAGAAGGCAGTCAATTGTCAGTTCCGGTTTCTTTTATTATTTTGTTTCAAATATTTATATTGAGAAGAAGCATACGAGTGTAAGCAATAGTACAGATTTCTTTGGGGTGGAAATCATGCTTCTCTTTTTCAACATAGAAGACAAACAGAACAGCCAACAAAGAAATAATAAAGAAAAAACACGGCATGACAGGAATACCATACTTAATGACATACATAGTCATAATGGGAAAGAACATACATATATTTTTATTATAGTATTTATAATAAAAATAAATAAACTTGGTTTCTTTTTATTTCATTTGAAAAAATAATTGAATCCCTAAATTAAAATATAATACATTAGCTATAGAAGGCTAATGTCATGGATTTGTATAAAGAAAACACAAGAACCAGTGAAAAGGGTTATACTGTGTGTTTGTCTGCTCTATAATGCCAAGGTAAATAAACTACCTACAGTAGTAACTTGACCCACTCTACCATGCTGCACTGCGTTATATATCAAATGCACCCTATAGGACTCATCATTGCAAACTGTATAGCCTAACTGGATGGTCCTCACTTACTATGCGTAGGATGCAGCATTGGTTTTTATTAATGTATAAAGCCATTTTAGGTAAGCTTCCACTGTACATATGTGCCAGATTTGCTCCAGTTTGTGACTCTTACAACCTCAGATCCAGTGCCTGGATACGGTTCCAGGTACCTACTGTACGGACTGAGGCTGGAAAAAGGAGTCTTTCTTATTATGGTCCTTGGTCTTGGAATGACCTTCAATCAAGTCTCAAACTGAGGGCACTTGTCTCAATAGCATGTTTTAAATTGAAGTTGTCTGAGGTCCTTACCACCAGCTGCTCTTGCAGTAATAAGTAGTGTACTTTTCTTACTGTCCTAATGTGCACAATGTAGTGACTGCTTTTTTGTCTTTTGTTTTCTTAGTTATGTTCTCTGTATTTTATATGTTTGTGTTATGTGTTATGTGTAACGTTGCTGCCTTCTTGGCCAGGTCAGCATTGAAAATGAGATTTTATCTCAATGCTTTTTTTATCTGGTTAAATAAAGGTTAAATAAAAAAATAAAAACCGTAGTGTTTGTTCAAGGCAAGAGACAACTGATAGGAAAGTGTTTCTTTCATGCATTTAAACTAACCAGTTTGTTTATTCATATTGAAATATAGCGCTTTGTTTCTTCATTCCAACAGCGCCCTAATTTCAGTGAGGGGCGTCCGATTGGTTAAACAAACGCACACCTTGTACTATTTCTATTCTATTTTATTTGTATTACTTGCACTATTTTAACTATTTTGTCTGTTTTATTGTGTTGCACCGTTGGAGGAGCCTGTGACCTAATATTTTCATTGACATATCTATATTGTAGCTATGTACAAATGACAATAAAAGCCTTGAATCCTGAATGAGAAGAATCATGCCTCCCCCACCTTTAAGGCTCTTGAGAACCAGACCCAGTTCTTCTGTGCAGTGAACTCTCTCGATGCCGGTCAGAGCCGCCGCTCCATCCTTCCCAGACCGCGGGCCGTCCCACAGCTCTCTGCTCGGGTCCCTGCGCGGGACGAACAGGATGGCCTGGTCCGGGCGTCCTGTCCCGTACATAACCAAGGCACTGTCCGGCTCCAGGATGCCACTGAGGTACAGGAAATCCTGAGGATCATATGGACACAGGTTAATGATGACGGCTATCTTAAAATTACACACAATCAGTATTCTAAATGACAAAAACATAGGGAATGAGTCCTAAAACCCATAAGTCAGCTTTATACCACTTCCGGGTTCCCTGAAGTCAGTGTTTTTTCTAATGGGTTTTTGGTTAGATGCCTGAAATAAGGTCTGTGGTTAACACAGACCTTATTTCAAAACATTTTTTGTTCTATGACATAAAATACGCCAGTGAATACCCCACTGGTGAATGTCTAAATCTACTATGTGTCATAAAAACGGCGTTTGCTAACAAGTGACTAAACGTCATCACGCCGAATATTATAAACACATCACAACAATTATGAAAGTGGTGTTTATACAGTATGTAGAGATTATCCTGCTGAATAAAACATTGAAATATCATAAACATGTGTTTGACAGAGATCTTATTTTCTGAAACATTCCAAAATCCAATAGAAAACCCAATTGGCGTTTAGTTAAGGGGAGCCCTTGTGATGCTAACTCCCAAACACATCACTGCACCTCTCTCTTGCATGTGACTGTTAAAACCCCACAAAGGCACAAGCAGATAAAACTTATCTTTGGTTTAATTTCTTTAAATTCAAGCTTGCACCTGGTTCTGGTGGAAGGGGTAAGGGATGTCGTTAGTCATGTAGCGGGTCGGGTGGGACAACAAGACGACAACATGGGTGCTGGAGGAGGCGGAGGGTCCTAGCCTGTCGGCCTGCGCCTCGATCAGTGAGGCCAGCCTGAGTCTGCGGAGCTCGAACTCTGTCTGGGTCAAACCCGGGGTCACCTCACCTGAGGAGCAGAGATCACAACATATGGCGTATCAGTGTTAAACAGCAGATCAAAACCTAGACATATAGTATGCATTGTCATTGTGTTGTATTCTAATTATTTCTTTCAAGATAAGAAACAAACTATCCATAAATTGTTTGTCCAAAGCAAGGAAACATGTTTTAATTTTAAGGAACATATAATCCAATTTAGATTATTAGATATTTTAGAATAATTACAATGATTGGATTATGAGATTAGTGGACTAAATAAATACTATTAGTCTCTTGATTCCAATTATGACAATAAAATGCTTTATATCTTATATATTTTAGCTTAGCCTCTGAATGGCATACATACTGCTCTTAGATTATACTCTTAACGCCAATACTGAAAAACTAGAAAATCACTTGTTTACTGTGTATACGTTGATATAAAAGAACCTTGTGAGGCCTTTTTTGTGACATTGTTTCTAATTTTGGGAATGTCCCAGAAAAGGTCTGACTTGATATAGAAGAGATATTTAAGAGAAGTTTTCTGCATGGGTACTAATGAGTCTGTTGCAGGTTTTCTGTAAAGAGATGTACATGTACCGGTCCAGCGATCCATTGTAAAACTACTCACCATGTTTGATGAGGTGTGGATGAGTGAAGGGGCTCGGCTGGCCCAGGTACCGCTGTGGAAGAGTCTTTGGTCTCGAACCTCCGGGTTTCAGAGAAATGTTTCTGCACGGACACCAGACACATCCTGCAGACAGACACACAGATAAAGAGACAGCAAACAATCTTAAACTGGGATCCTACAATACATCTGGTTTAATCTTTAATTCAGTTTAATCTGCTGTCAAAGGCTGATTCACCGAGGAGAACTTCAAAACTTCACAATATTAACTTATCACAAATATATAAGTATTGTCATAGTAAGATGTATAAGCCGGCTGATAAGTGACAAGAAATTGCAGCAAAACATATAGTTTATAAATGATTTCCATTGATTGAATACCAACTAAATATAAATGTTGTTACTTACACTTATATAAGAACACAAGTGGAGAACAAGGTTGTATAAACAGTGAGATATAGTATTATCAGCTGCACTGTATTTTATCTATATCTATGCTGTATGTCTATGTAAAACATTCATCTGATAACTAACTGTCATGTACTGCAGTGGAGTTACTGGCTTAATATTTCCCTCTGAAATGTAACATAAGTGCAGTAGAAATATAAAGTAATGTTAATTTGAAAAACTCTATTTAAGCAACAGTACCTTATGATTTTATGTAGGTACAAATAAAACATAAAAACAATATTGTTCTCACCTGGCCTCCAGGTTCTCAGCAGCCTGGCAGCAGACCTCACCATGGAGCTGTTCGAGGGCAACATTTCTGCTGCAACTGGAGGACACCGACCAGTCACAGCAATGTGTGCTAACCTCTGTAAACATGAGACAACACACAGTGAAGTTGGTCAAGTAAGGCTCTATGTTTACAGAGAAACATAGCGATTTGTTGATGAGACTCACCTTTGTTAAAAATCCTCTTATATAACTGTTAAATATCTCCTAAGGTTGACAGTTAGCATCGTTAGCTTGATGCTAACCCCGTTCATGTGTGTAGATTGAGAAATGCTGCCCTGAGTTTTGCCTCCCAGGCCGGTTGACAACCGTCCTGACAGTAATACCGCCATCTTCTGCTTCGGAGTGTGGAAAAAGTACTCAGAATATTTAAAATAAAATAAATATTATTATAGGTCATACTACCAAGAAGGATATCAAGTAATTAAAATAAACCCAACCTTTACCATCTGAAACACTGAAGTGATAAGTGACATGAATGCATACCTTATTATAATTCAGTGATATTTATGGCTCTGAAATGGGCCATTCTGCAATATGCTTACTGTTGGTACTTTAAGTTAATGAGACGCTAAAACACATAAGTAAGTAATATTTTGAATTCAGAACTATGATACAATGAGGGCCATACTCAAGCTTTAATGGTTCATTTATATGCATCCTAGTTGTTGCCTGACAGGCTCACCTCAGGGTAATAAAACCCCGGGTCCTCTGTCAGTCTGTCCTGATTCTCGCCTGAATGAAAACACAGAAGCGACGACACTTCACTGAAGCAGAGTAGTGTCGATAGAAATCTCCTGCAACCTTCCTGTTTTGTATTCTCCCGTGTGAACTGTTTGCGTCTTCTATCAGGTGCGTTTCCCTTCATTCACTGTCATTCTTAGCTGTAGCTTTCCAACTATTTTTTATTAATCACGGCCCATTTAGCAAGCTAACGCTGATTAGCTAACGGCGTTATCATGCGTCAAACTGGGACAGATTTACATTTCCAGAAATGTCCACAAACTCATGCCTTCTGCGACCATTAAATATAGCCATTAAAGCTTTTTGTGCACGGTTGCTTCATTGCTAGTTTATCTGAATTGTGGGGTAAGCAACGTGAGGTTTTGCTAATCCATCCTCTGTTGCACGTTAGCTAACTTAGCTTAGCAAAGCTGGTATTAGCGTTAGCACGTAAACAAAGCCACACTGAACTGAGTTGTTGTGTGTTTTTCCGTCTGTTTTTTTTGTTACATAATTCAGTGTGCTGTCTGCTCAACGCGACAGAGCAACATGGACCCACGGAAAGTGGCAGAGTTAAAGGGCTTCGTGCAGATGTGCGAGGCCAGTTCTGACGTCCTGCACCTGCCGGAGCTGGGCTTCTTCCGGACCTGGTTGCATGGGTCAGTATTCGTGTGTGTGTGTGCGCGTGTGTGTTTGGGGGGGGAGTGTGTGTATGTAACAGTTTAATTGATGATTTATTCTGTAATTGTGTCACTGAAGTTCTTAAAGTTTAAAACATTGTGCAAGTTTACCACGTGCATCAGTCCCGCCCACCTTCCAGAAAGAAACATGGAAGTGTGTGTGTGTGTGTGAAATCAATTGCACCACATCTGAACCCATGCAAAGAAAAAGGTTTCATCCCTTTCTATTTTATAGTCAAATATAGGGCTGTATCGCGATATCGCGATAAATAAATGTCTCGATACCGTCGTGAGACTGACGAAATCTACCGCGATTTTTTTTGAGATTTAAAAAAAAAAAAAACTTTATTTAACCAGGTGGTCCCATTGAGATCATTGATCTCTTTTTCTTTATCGTTACATCCCTAGTCAAATCACATGGAAGCAGGGGCGGATCTACGGTGGGGGCAAGGGGGGGCAGCTGCCCCCCCACTGTAGAGCCTTTCCCCCCCACTGTAGAGCCTTGACCCCCCCCACTGTAGAGCCTTGACCCCCCAGCTGCCCCCCTAACTTTTGTGTCCCTAAAACTGTACTTGTAGAAACAAACCTACACTAATGGCGCATTTCCACTACAGCGCGGTTTAAGCGTGCCGTGCACGGCCCGTTTTTGGTTGCGTTTCCACTAGGCGTAGTACCGGCTAGCGGGTATTATTTCACAGTTTTTCTGGCCCCATAAAATCGAGGTTCTTAGCGGGCCAACAACCAGGCTGAGTCGGGCTGAGTATGCTAAACTAGAGAGAGAGAATCGCTGGCAAGGGGGCTACAACTACAACAAAATGAACATATTTGACCGTGATTTAATTGTAATACACATTTCAAAATGATGCCGAAGTAACAACATACTGATACCGGTTAGTAAAAACCATGAATTAATGCTTTGACAAGTCTGCAGACAGACGGCAGGCGAAAAATCTTTTAAAATGCGTGTTTTCTAAATGGAGATCGGCTAAGCTAACGCAGTATATGCTCCGACCGTCCACACTCACAACAACGGCCTATACAGACATAAATAAACCAGCGACTGTATTCGCCATGACACAGGCAGTCTGTGGTTTGTACTTGTTTAACTTTTGTCTAGTTTCTGAACAGATATGAGGAGCTGTGAGCTTGAGTGCTAACGGCTGATGTTGTTTTTCTGTGGTTTGCATTGAAGATGACGTCACGGCTCCGCCTACACTGCGTTACTATAGTTACTGCCCCAGCTACTAAACTGTAATGGAAACGCAGCATAAAGTGAGCCTGGCCTAACAAGGTCTAACTATACCGTACTAAGCCGAGCGAGGCTCTGCAATGGAAATGCGCCATATGTCCACAAGCTTCTCAAGCAACGAAACAAGCAATTCATTAAATGTGAATAATTTTAAATATCATCTTAGGCCCGTTAAAAACGCAGCTACATCCCTGCATTAAACTGCGGAGCGGCGTTCACACAGACCGCGGCTCACACCGCTGCAGAGAGGGAGCGAGCTGTCCCAGCACCTGAGGGTGGATCAGCTTCCCCTGGGCGCATTTCCCCTTCCACTAGTTTTGTTTTTTATAAGGACGAGAGCTTGAAACAAAATATTAATAAAACGCTGCCGTTTGAATCGATAGCGTTTAACAGACGGTCGCTGTTTGGGGCGTTACGTTACAAAATACTACGCAGAAAGCGCTAGCTGGGAGATCGATCACTTTATTTGCTAAACTATGCGGAACTGTTAAATCCACGTACATTACACATCACAGCAATGAGGCCAGATAATTTAAACCAGGATACATCATTTACCGTCAAACTGGGTCTGAACACAGCTGCCTGTGTGCGTTTGATAAATACTTTCAGATTTTATATTTATTTGCTATGCTACTTATTAGCTACATGGCCCTAAAGGTCCTTACACACCGAGCCGATTTTCGGAGTCGATAGATGTCGGGCCGTCGATGAGTGTCGTGTCGCCCTACTCAGATTGGCGTGTACTGCACAGTCGTGTCTTTTCGGCCGTGCCGACACCTTCCGCCGCCGATTCGACATGTCGAATGTCGCAAAAAAACACTCTGATTGGCTGTCCAGCTTAGCGAATCAGTTCATGAGAAGCGAAATGGAAGTGAGGGACCCAAACAAACTATTAAGAAGGCAAATCTGAGATTTCATTTAACTCCAGCTCTCGACACAGGTTCGGGAAAGCCCCATGAGCTTCTCGCTGTAGAGTGAAAATGGAACGCACACGCTATTTGTTGTTTGTTTATATCACGCAGTCTGTTCTTCTTCTCTCGGTGTATCACGCAGTCTGTCTTTCGGTTGTTGCCTCTTTTGAATGACGAATACACACTACCGACGCCTGCTGGTAAGGAGAGTTATTGCCACTCACGCATGCGCAGTTCGTACGTGCAACTTGGCCGTCGGCTGAAGTCTTTGCGGTGTGTTCCAGTGCGAAACATGGCCAAGACGCAGGAGACGTGAGCCGACGTTCCGTCGGGACGTGTTCTTTGGTGTCAGTTTGGTGTGTAAGGAGCTTAACGTGTAAAGTTACAAGCATTTGTACCAGTGCTTTTCACAAGTAGTGAGGTGAGGCCACAAAGTATAGCGCAGCATTATGCATTTGTTTACATGCCCACCGGAACCCCGAGGCATTACCAACAGATCAACGCACAATCAACCCATACAGGACATCTCTTTCTCCACATTAAGCGTTAGACATTAGAATTGACTATTCTTGTCTGTCACATAAGTGGCACAACTGATGCGGTATTGCGCTAATGGGAAATTATTTTGACCGGAGAGATTTAGATTTGCCGGTCTTCAGCATATTTTACCGGTCATAGTCTGGTAATTACCGACTAACGGGAACTCTAATATACAGTATAAAATACCACATACTGTCCGCCCTCCCATGCCACCCCGGCATGACCTCTTGCCACCCCATGTAAAATATTCTAGAACCGCCACTGCATGGAAGCCATTACGGATTTGAGGCAATTAAAATGACATGTCACAACCATAGTGGCTGAAATAACAGGATATTATCCTAATAATCATCAAATTCTCACCAAAACATCCTAGAATCATTTTGTCATTTTGTTGAAATCTTAATCGGGCTTATAGCCAAGTAAACTACACATTTAAGTAATTTGTCTTTGGTGTATAATGGTGCATGTTTAAAGACCGTAAGAGGAATTCATTATTAAAAAGAAACAAATACAGAACATTGTGTTTTCTTTCGCGATCTGTGATAAAATCCTATAACCATTGGTACTTTGTCAAGGATTTGGATTCATAAAGTAATTACGTTTTGAACAGGATTCCCGCGGGGTCTTAAAAAGTCTTAAATATGATCAAAAAAAATAAGAAAGGTCTTAAATATGATTTCGAAGGTCTTAAAAAAGATCGGATTTGAAAGGTACTTCTGTGTTGCGATCACGTCTAAATGTGTTTTGGGGGAAATGTCCGGGCTGCAGAGTAACCAGTACGGTAAGAGCCTTTCAGTTCCCCCCAACGATTTGAAATAAATCAACATGGAACCAGTAATCATTGTTTCCTCCGGCCCCTTATCGGAGAACACCCAGATGGTAACCCAGCAACCTAACCAAGCTTCAGCTAGCGGCAGTCAGAAACTCAGGTATCTTCGAATCTACTTACAAATAAATATGGGGAAGTTTAAGTTCAACCGTATTTGGTTGGAAAACATCGAATTTAGTGCTTGGTTAAAACCAGTGATGGGGAACGTGTTTTTGAGGCCGCTGCACCTTTTGCAAACAAAATTAGCGTTTGTTTAGCTAATGTAGCGTTAGCTAATGTAGCGTTAGCTAGTGCAGCAGCTCCCGCAACAACATCGTGGGACCTCCGGGTGACGTTTGGGTCTGTCAACCCTAAAAGCGGAGGTGCTGTGGACGCTAAAATACCGTAGCTAAACACCAATCATACAACAGCATGAAGGCAGCAGAGCTCTATATTGGCCATATTTTTTTATTACAAAGCCAGAGTTAAAAATATATCAATATGAACATTTCAAATACCGCGCCGTAACCATAGCAACGTAAGTAGCGTAAACAATGCAGCGCCTCCACGTACAGATGGCAACACCCAGAAATATTCACAAATATTCAGAAACTGTAATGAACAATGACTATTTATTTCAAGAACTTTTATTTACAGAAACTCAACATTTCTAATCTGTGTCACAAATATGCACGTTTTTTTTTGGGCTCCCCCTATTTATCTCAAAGTCGGCCTTCAGGGGAGCTGAACAGTGACTGTTATGTTCAGTCATCGTTCTTATGTTGAACATGAATACATTTACTTTGAAAGTAATTATGGGACGTATTTCTTCTTTCATAGCAATTTTCCTTCATACTTTCTTGCTGTGAAATAGGTCTTAAATTCTATTCAAAGTGGTCTTAAAAAGTCTTAAATTTGAGTTGGTGAAACCTGCAGGAACCCCGTTTGAAACAATACGTATATTTTAATAAAATACAACATGTTCTGGTTATGTTTTAAAGACTGTTGATACAAAACAAAACCATTTTAAGAAATCACCACATTCAGGGAGATATCTATTTAAATTATATAGATCAATCAACAATACATTTAAAAAAAAATCTAATTTTGAATATATTAAATGTATGATTATATTTGGCCTATCCAGCGAATAAAATACCTGAAAACTCCTTGTATTGTTTGCTGAATTGTTCTCCATATTTTATATTTCAGCATGGATTCAAAAATCCCTCCTCCATCCAAGCCAAAGGGGTCGTGCCAAGTGAGACATAACTAAATCATTTATTGAACACTTTTGATACATTTTTTTCCCCACATTTTATGCTGTAACTACTTGCTCTCTGATTTTTTTTTTTAGGGCGGCTGTCCTTGTGGTCCACCTCCTACCTCAGCTCCAGCTCCAGAGCCACAGCCTACCGGACTGTCTGAGGACGAGGAGAGTGATTTAGGTACACACAGTTTCACAAAGTTAATGTGTGTTATGTAAGACAACAGCATAGTGTAACTCTAGAAAAGCATTTCATTCAGCATATTCAGGCAGTAGCCTATACTCAAAAATAAAATCCGAGCTGACAGAAAATGCTCAGTTTTTTTAGTTTAATACACACAGTTAATCTCACACACACTATTATGAACATATAGGTTCACCTACTGAATTAAAAAAGAAAAAATGAACCAAAGAAAGTGAAAACCATAAAGCAGATTCAGGCAGTAGGCGTATAGATTCACACTTAAAAGTATTAGCCTACAGAACAGTTCAGTTTACAGAGAAGAGATAACATCTGATCCTTTTACAACAAACACTATATGCTCATTTTTAGTTACTTAGTACCATTGTAATCCCCAGTTTCTAGAAGTCTAACAGTAATCAGATTTGTGTTATTTAACTGTAAGTGAATACGGTTACCTTTTTTTTTGGTATCCTGATTACATAATCCCGTTGCATGTAATCTGTTACTCTCCAAGCCTGGGAAAGAGTAGATACGGCACACTAATGAATTATCGTTTTGACTTTGGGGTTTCTGTCACTTTTGGATGCTAGCTGAAGCTTCACATTTATAGTACAGACATTAAAGGTGGGGTAGGTAATTCACTTCAGATACACTTTTTGTTATATTCCATGGAATGCTCTTAACATCCCGATAGCAATGAATACATTAAATGCTTTAACGATAAATACATTAAAAAATTCATCTGTGGAAGCCGTGGCGCTGTAAAAAGCAAGTCCAATTATCTGAGCCGGCTCGGCTAAAATAACTGGATGGCCTACCTGCCTGTCAGCCTTTCATCTGTGCACAAACTTATCTCGTGCCCTCATTGGTCATGTGCGCGTTCGTGTGTGTTGGAGGGGCTCTGTAAGGAAGTCTGAAGGAAGAGGCAGATTTTTTTCGGCTGCGTACTTTCAAATTCTAGCGCACTCGAGCTGGTTTCTCCATTCTTACTTAGTACCCTACCTTTAAGGTGAAATACATCTTCTTATCCAACTCTGAGCAAGAAAGCAAAATGGATTATTATCCAAAATGTCAAACAGTTTATTTTTGTAGGTATATTTATAGATTCAGGTCTGAAGGAGGAACATTACATAACTTTGCTGCAGTGCCGTCTCCAACACTAAGGAAAATACACCAAGACATCGAAAAGGCACATTTTAAAGGCCTGTAGTGTGTCTTATATGTTTCTGTGCATGGAAATGGTCCAAACTAGACTACAATCCCAAAGTTCCCTCCAAAATGCAACTATGAGCCTGAAAATGAGCATAATAGGGCCCCTTTAATAAAAATAAAAAAAGCAAGTGAGTCTATCAATAATTGAAAAGTAGATTCATGAGTGCAGTTCGCAGACATGTCCCCATTTTTAAACCTGGCCTTAGTTAATTAGTTATTGAAACGGCAGCATTCCTGAATGTGTGTGAGGCCGTCAGACTGCCGATTTTATTTCCTAAGAATATCCCAAAAATCTTCATAGATTGTGTTCCCCACAAGAGCTCATTGTAAGTCTTGGGTTTATCGCTTTGCTTCTTCAGAAATTGAAATGGAGGGAGTGATTGAACCGGACACCGACGAGCCGCAGGAGATGGGAGATTTTGAAACCACTGAGGTACAATGTTGAGATTTTTCTATATTTTCCAATAACCTTTTATTAATAAAAGATGGAGAATAACTAAGCCACATTGTGTGCATACGTTCCCTCAGGTATCAGAGGAGATGATGGATCAGGCCAATGAGAAGAAGATTGAGGCCATTGATGCTTTAGGAGAAGGTGGGTTGATATTATATTTAGAAAAGGCAGACACATCCATTGGGTAAATGTAACAACATTTAAAATTGAATTATATTTATTCTCTCTTTGTCTGTTATAGGCGATCTGCAGAAAGCCCTGGATCTTTTTACGGAAGCCATCAAGCTGAACCCCTGCGTAGCCATCATGTACGCCAAGAGGGCCAGGTGAGAATCCTCCATGCTCTCTTTGCTTGATGACTAATCCTTCTATAAATGATAGTGAGTGTAACCAGTCGCCCTCTCTCTGTGTGTCAGTGTGTTTATCCAGATGGAGAAACCCAACGCAGCCATCAGGGACTGTGACAGAGCCATCAGCATCAACCCAGACTCTGCACAGCCCTACAAGTGGAGGGGAAAAGCTCACAGGTACATTCCTGACTTTACACACGTGACATAACCAAACACTCAGTGTAAACACGACACACCTAATCTTGTTTTAATCTCAGCGGAGTTTATGATCTGATGGTATCGTATATGCTTGCTTATTGTGTGCGTGTGTGTTGCTGCAGGCTGCTGGGCCACTGGGAGGAGGCCGCCCGGGATCTGGCTACAGCCTGTAAACTGGACTATGACGACGACGCCAGTGCTTTGCTGAAAGAGGTCCAGCCCAAGGTATAAAGCCAGAGAAAGGAGGGAAACAAGCCTAGTTTCACATTGACTGTAATGCAAATATGTTTCCTTTTTTAAAGGTCTCCTATCATGCCAAATGCACTTTTTGATGTCTTTTATACATAAATATGTGTCCCCGGTGTGTCAGGGAACTCATGCAACGTCAGAAAATAAAACCCTCTCTCTTTTCCTCCGTACCCAAATCTCTATAAACGGGGCTACAACGGAGCTGATCCAGATTTGCGTCCAATATGACGTAATATCTGAAATGTGGACCCACGGCCCTATCAGAAAGTTGCTATCAGAAACAATGCCCGACTGTTTTGGACGTAATATGGGCCGTTTCTCAATCGCGAGGATGCTGGCTTTGGTAGCACAGCCGAGCCGAGCATCTTGCTTCAGAAGCGAGGCAAGAATACTTCCTGGCATTCGGAAAACGAAGAGTGGAACAGGCTAGCAAGTGTGCAGGTGTGCGTCATATGAGAGGCCCCGCCTTACATCTTCCGCCACAGATTTGGGGAAATTGGTCCGTGCGCAAAGCATTGTGGGGATTTTAAGGACGTGAAGTCTACCCATGTGCAGCCTCGAAATTTCCCCCAAACCAAGGACGCCGCCTCGGTGGAATTCCAAGTATGCTGGAGATTGGAACAGTCCTTCGGCGGCACTCGATGACGTAGCATCCTTGAAATATTGGCTTGGAAGCCAATATCCTCGCGATTGAGAAACGGCCATGTAGAGAATCAGCCATTTTCTCACAGGGCTGGAACAGAGGGATATGAGGGATTTCTGAAATGCATGATCTGTTTGGTATTTTCAGCAAAACACATCATAGTTTTTATATATTTATATGTTTGTCTGATACCCATAATATAAGCCTAAAAATAGCATAATGGGAGATCTTTAGTAAAGGAGTGGATCCATATTTGTGAAGCTCCCAATGGCAGAATGTGAGTTTGTGCTTCATCTTTATCGTCATCTCTCCCTGTTTCTTTGTTCAGGCGAAGAAAATCATCGAGCACAAACGCAAATACGAGCGTAAAAGAGAGGAGAAGGAGGTCAAAGACAAGCAAGAGCGGATAAAGATGGCCAGAGAGGAGCATGCACGAGCTCAGAGGGTGAGTGGGATGGAGGTGTCCTGTTTCAGACCAGCGATGTGTGGTTTTTGAAGAAATCCATTAACAGGAGAAAGCACTCCTGATTCATCCTGTCCTTTTGTTTCCATCAGGAGGAAGAGGCACGACAGGCCGGAGGAGGATTCTTCCCAGGTAGGAGAGCACTTCAAATGTCATCATACGAGAAGCAAATCAAAGGAGAATACCCTGTGGAAATGATTTGATACTCTTATTAAAGCTGCACAATTTAGAAAACATAACTCCGATTGTTTTGAATGGATTTTGGAATTTTGTCTGGAGAATTACAGGATGATATATATTAGTTTGAATGTTTACATCTCCAAACTGCAGAAATGCTCAGTGTCTCTGTTTTGTTGGGACGTGTTGATGTGTTGTGACTGATTGCTGCTCCAGTTGATGATCCTGTTTTTACATCAGGCGCTGGTGGGTTTCCAGGAGGATTCCCCGGTGGAGCCCCCGGTGGATTTCCCGGAGGATTCCCCGGAGGATTCCCTGGTGGATTCCCCGGTGGATTCCCCGGTGGAGCCCCCGGTGGAGCTCCCGGTGGAGCCCCCGGTGGATTCCCCGGTGGAGCCCCCGCCGGCATGCCCGGTCTCGGTGATCTGCTGAAAGACCCCGAGCTGCTCAACGCCATGAAGGTGAGATAAACTACATAGATCCTCCGTACCACTTCCTCTGATGCAGCCCAGGATGGATATGATATGCAGAGCTTTAAGGAGGAGGTTCAACAATATGGGAAATCCATTTTCTTACCGAGAGTTACATGAGAATAGATCCCGCTCTCAAGGATTTTAGTTGGAAATTGTACTTTGGGTCATGTATTGGGAAGATGTATTTTTAACGCTCTTACTTTGATTTGAATATTGCACTAGGCCATCTTGCTAGGTTGATATGATTTGATGAATTGTGAAGACCTAAATCTGATTTCCAATGCCCTCTCTGGATGAATTTGACCGTGTTTCCCCCCCCCCCCCTGTATTCCCCTCCAGGACCCCGAGGTGATGACGGCCTTCCAGGATGTCGCACAGAACCCAGCCAACATCTCCAAGTACCAGGACAACCCCAAAATCATGGCGCTCGTCACCAAGCTGAGCTCCAAGTTCGGAGCTGCCCCACAGCCGTAAACGAGGACAAGACCCAAAGAGGAGGGAGAGGATCCGTGGTGAAACAATCTGGAGAGCCACGACGCATTTCAACGATTATTCCACTGTGTGCAGATCAAACAGGGCAGCGGGGGGGGCGGCGGGTTAATTAAGTAGAGAAAGTGGGGCGACTTTTTAAATGATCTTAATGAGCCTGTTACACTTAGCATCCTCCTAACTCAGACTGACTTTAACCTGTGTCCCGAAACGCTAAACTGGGGACCCCCGCATTAAGATGCTAACACACAGATGTTTTTACAGCCATTTAACTCGTGGTGATTGTTCAGCTTCCTGTTTGTTTTTCCTTTCTCCAAACAGAGCCGTATTCACAGACAACTGTTGAGATTTCTTTGCTATCAGATGTATTGTTAATGAGTAAAGATAAAAGTCACTGTCCTTGATGTCTGACCCTGTTAAATGATGATTCACAATAAATCCTTTGTTGCTGCAAACCGGTTTAACATTATTTCTAGTTCTTTATATCGTTATACAAACTGATTTTACAGATTACATGCAGTCTTTCTTTTCTTTTTTAGCATCCAGAAGGACCCTCAACTAGGGGTGCATACCGGTACCTGGTATTACCGAAATACTGGGTACCGGCGGCTACGGTATACCGATCGAAATCAGATCCAGTTTTCGTTTTTTTTATATAAAAGTGAGGCGTAATATCCTTAAACTCGCGCCCAAACTCTAGAAATTACGATGTCAATTTTGCCGTGAAACTCCGCAAACGAGTCACTGTGGAGTGTGGGCTGCTTTTAGAAAATCTAAAGTCTGAATGGTGGGGTCTGTAACCACTGCCAGTCTGAGTGGTGGGGTCCGTAACCACTGCCAGTCTGAGTGGTGGGGTCCGTAACCACTGCCAGTCTGAGTGGTGGGGTCTGTAACCACTGCCAGTCTGAATGGTGGGGTCTGTAACCACTGCCAGTCTGAGTGGTGGGGTCTGTAACCACTGCCAGTCTGAATGGTGGGGTCTGTAACCACTGCCAGTCTGAATGGTGGGGTCTGTAACCACTGCCAGTCTGAATGGTGGGGTCTGTAACCACTGCCAGTCTGAATGGTGGGGTCTGTAACCACTGCCAGTCTGAATGGTGGGGTCTGTAACCACTGCCAGTCTGAATGGTGGGGTCTGTAACCACTGCCAGTCTGAATGGTGGGGTCTGTAACCACTGCAAGACATTTATTTCTGGGAAAGGTATCAACACATCCAACCTCCAACCAATGCTGTCTCGTATGGCAAGTACCTTTGTGTTCAGGGAAGCAGCGTGCCAAGCGAGAGAGAGTTCAGTTCAGCAGGTGATATCCTACGCTGTGAAAGGGCCCGTTTGGATCCAGAGAGAGCAGATATTCACAAAACTGAACTGTGATGGGATTAGTTTTCTTTCATCAGGCAAATGTTGATTTTAATGATGCTATTTGTGTTTTCTGGTCAGTAGAATCTCAGGTTGAATATTGATTATAGTGGTGCTATTTTCTTTTTGCATTGACAAGATGTACTATTCACGCCTGATGGTTGTTATAAATGATATTGCAGAATCTGTTTTCTTCATAGATAACTTGTTTTTAATTGTTTGTTCAGTACTAAAAGGTCCAAGTCCCACAATTTAATATTCATTTGACATGTTAACTATATCATAAAGCGCTTCATTGGAGTAATTGCGGGATGATTCCATTTTTCCCTTATGCAACATGAAAGTATCACGATATGTATCGGTTGAGTATCGGTATCGTAAAAAAGTCAACGATATGCATCCCTACTCTCAACCTGTGATTCTGACATGAGTTTAGGTTTTTACTGTCGAGTTTTACTAGCAACGTCATGAAAGCAGCACCTTGTATGTGGAATCCTTGTGGAATCCATTTTGTTATTTAGCATAAATAATTTAATCTCAAACTCACATCTTTATGAATGCAACTGCTTTATCTGAACAAGAAAGCTGCATTTTGAAAGTTGGAATATTGACAAATATGGCTACATTTTAAGTTTGTTACTCGATGGGAACATACCATTATAGACTAACTACCAATTGTTTTGCACATCTTCCTCAATGTTTTAATCAATAAAAAGACAAGTCCATTCTAGGCATTTTCTATAAAAGTCAAGATCTGTTAGATGTATCTTTTCGGGACCAACAGAAACCAAAATATCTGCGAGTCCCTACAGGTGCTGCAGTGTAAACCCGGCAGAGGGCAAGGGGGTTAATAAGGGATCTGATTCAGAGGATTACTGCTCTGACACATGGGCCGTTTCTCAATGTCGAGTATACCTGCTGCAGAGCCACTATTTCAAGTATACTACGTCATCGAGTGGCGCCGAAGGACTGTTTAAATGCATGTTAAATGCCCAGCATTCGGCGCCACTCGATGACTTAGTATACTTGAAATAGTGGCTCTGCAGCAGGTATACTCGACATTGAGAAACGGCCATGGAGTCCTGAATCACTGCTTCAAGCTGTCCACCAAAATGAAATCAAACCATTAACCAACATCTGAAGATCTCGGTTATTTTCAGCAGCTGGACTTCCTGTTTCTCATTTTCTCTCACTGAAGCGTCAGCAGTAAAACAACCCGTTCTTTGTGACAACATGAATGTTTATTTATGAACTTACAACATACCAAAACAAAGACATTTGCGTAAAATAACAACTAGGCTTATTAGCCTGGCGGGGGGGGGGGTGGGGAAGCAGTATGGGTGATGCTCGTAGAAGCCAAGAAAAGGTCAGCATTAATACAGCTAGTGTCCGTATCTGTGGAGAAAAGACAGAGAGAAGAAGTAGCGTTAGTAAAAGGGGTTCATTTCAGGAAATACTCAAAACATTTCACTATCAAAGGCAACAAATGAGGAATTGAAATAACAACACACATCTCCCCAAAGCTATACATCTCTGGTTAAAAGACAAAGTGATCTAAAAGTACTATTACTCACTTCTGAAACTCCCACTCCCTGTTGTCCAGAGGGCACACCTGTCTGGTTTTCAGCCAGCGGGAAATACAGTGGAAATGGAAAGCATGCTGTGGAAGAAAAAAGAAAAAACACATGAATTCAAGCTTCGGAGAAATATGTGAGACCAGCGCTACATTTACAATCTTATAGCCAATGCCCCAAATTAATGTAGCTAATAATTAAATCATTTGTTGGCAATGATCTACGCTATTAAACTAAAGAAGGGTTGTTTGCCTCGGTTATGTTAGTAAATATAGGAAACCTATAGAAGTGTGACTTAACATTGAGAACTTGAACACTAACAGTTTCCCTTCACAAATACAGATTATATATGCATGGAAACAAATATATTTGTTAATGTTTGTCAATTATTTAGGCAAAATTCACTACTGAACTACAAAATATGCCAACATTGTGAAAAGAAGAACCTCTTGAATACTTATACTATGAACAATTATTCTATAACAATGAAAATGTAAACCAAAAATTGCTGACAGGTGTAATGAACACGATAATGGCATGTGCTTGAATTAGAGAACTCACATTGCAGACACCCCAGGCTACAGTGCACTCCTCAGAAGTTGCTGAAGCTTGGTTGGCCTGGCACTCTATACCTGAAGAGGGAGAGAGAAATCTGTCAACAATTCAATTCACACAAACAGGCTGACATTTAGAGCCTCATATCGTGTTGCTTATGTGCTCTTTGACAGCTGCCGCCCATGACCAAATCATTTCTTATACGCAGTCCATTATGTATACAAGGGTAAATTAAACTCACAGAGATCCATGATGTGGTTCCTACAGATGGCACAGTTATCCACCACAATGTCCCAGGCCCACAGCGCAACTGCATTCCACTGGTGGGAAATGTAAAAAATACAATAAATATAAGAAGATGCATTACAATCACTGACAAATGTAGTTAGTAAAAGTAAATGACAGTTTCACAGTACATGTCAAATGCCACAACCAACGTTATGATTGGTGTACTGTTAAAAGATAGGACACAAACAAAGTGTGACTTCGTATTTTGTATAAATGATATGAACTTCAGCCAGATGTCAGTTATTTATAAATAGATAAGGCAAATAATCACCACACTGCTTCTTTCCCACTCTTAAAAATAAGCTCAGTAGTTTTACTATAGGATATGAGATGCTTGCAACATCAAATCTGAGAAGCTGTCACCCAAATACTGAAGTGTTTACATGACTGTCACTGTAATATTACTCTTAACTGTAATTGCGTCATAACATTAAGCTGCTGTTGCTAATGATAATTAACCATTGCTAAGTTAATCGATTAACATGTCTTATAAAACTGGGTTCCTAAAACGCAGTACGCGGGTAGTTTGATAGAAAGTAAGCACAATAAATATTGAAACACATAGTCAGATTGTATATTCAAACCATATTATATACACTTCTTGCAAGTTATAACTTAATGTTTTGAATATTTCTGGAGGCTATCAAACTCCGGAGGGCGGCTTAGCTAAGCTAGGCTAATTTAGCTCGCAGTTAAGAGCTTAGTTATTTACCGTTACGTAGGTCAGGATTTAATGTTAACCTTGGGAAGGCTTTTCTGTTTATTAAACCGTGAGTATTATTGGTGATCCCTGTAACATGACTATAAGTTCTAAGAATATATTTTTTGCTATGAAAAAGATAAGTGCACATTCATGCCCTGTTTGTAGCAGGCTAACAGCTAATAGCTAACTGTCTCTATGTCATTAACGGTTACATTTAGAAAAAGTTAGCTGTATTTAGCGGTCATTTGTGGTTAATGGCAGATTATATGCTATCTTTACATCAATAAACCGTGTCAAACTTACCTTTTTTACTTCAAATCGCTTCTTGCTAGCCCCACTGTTAGTGCCGGTCGGCGTATCAACATCCATAGCTGCTGCCATCTTGCGAGGAGAAATTTTGCCCTGAAGTAAACGTGACCCGGAAGAAAAACAGCGTTTCCGTCAGTGAGAAACGACTTACTGTTGATCCCGATTGTAGTCGTTTGTGTCATGATATGTTCATTGTGGAGAGAATCTTATTGCTCTTATGTTGCTTAAAACAAATGCTTGCTCTGTAAGATGCATTTACATAACGTAAAAAGCGCACAAAAAAAGAAAAAGTTAGGTTCTACCGAGATTTGAACTCGGATCGCTGGATTCAGAGTCCAGAGTGCTAACCATTACACCATAGAACCACATGATGAACAGTGTTGTACAGTAACATTATATAGTTGCCACTGGATTGAAATTATTTGGTGATTTAGTCCCTTATCAATTTAAAGTTGACATGTTTTAACCCTTTTTCACGATTTTGAACTGTTATTGAGTCATTCTTACCTAAAAACTCTCTTAAACTTGCATCTTCAATACATTCGGGGCCACTTATAAATCCCCTTCCACAAATATTGAACCTTCTTTGACACCAAGTAAAAGATCCCCTTTGTCAGATTTTTTAATGGGATTATTGGGATAGAATATATTCAGAACATGAGTGGTGGGTGACATTACATTGCGAAACTGAACAGGAGCCACTCCCATCTCCACAATTCACACTCGATGCATAATATAAGTGTAGCATCAGCATTTCAACGTCCAACCTACAATCATCTAATGCATGTTTCAAATACCAATATCAGATCATTCTGGCTGATCATTATCTTATTCAGCTCTCAGTTTAACATACAACTCAAAATGACCAGATAACCCCTAGATGGCCAAGCAGATAGTCATTTATAGACTATTTATTATTCATTGTAGTGTACTCTCTTCATTTTTTTGTCCCCTTATCACTTTTTGCTATTCTGTTTTAGCATGCTCAGACAGTCAATTGTGTATGTAAACTCCAAACAGAATGAATTGTGATCTTAAACTCTTTAATAAAAAGAGGCTGTTCAGACTTTCAATTTGTTTTATTTCACTTATTACAGTGTCTTCTGGTTCTTTGTCACTTTTGGTGCCATCAGCCTTTGAGGTTTTTTCTTGGTGGGTTTTGGTAGTTTAGCTTTTGCAGGTCTAGCTTTGACTCCAGAGACCTTTGAGACACTGGCTTTGGGTTTCTTGACTTTTGGTAGTCTGGGGGCCGTAACAACCTTCTCATCTGGAGGAGATATGCTTTCTGTGCAGGACTTGAACACAGGGACGTCCCTGACCTTCTGACCTCTTATCTCAAGAGGCTGCCCACAGGTCGCGATCACCTCAAACTTAAGCTTTTCCATCCACCTGGGAGAGAGAAACAGACAAAAAATAGTTGTCATTAATTATCCAGAAAATGCTAGTTAATTTCCAGGTTTTAGGACACATTCCTGCAACACAAGATTTCCAAAAATAGTGGTATCTGGTAAACTTCCTTCTCTTATTCCAGGTAAACTGACCTTCGTAGTGGCAGCAGAGCACAGTCGCACAGCAGGGGGTTTTCCTTTAGGTCAACCACCTCCAGGCCGGTGAGGGGGCTCAGGTCAGGAAGCTCCGTCAGCTGGTTCCCTCTCACAGTCAGAGCCTTCAGCCCCGGACCGAGCCCTCTCAGAGCGTCCAGGGACATCTGCACACAGATACAATATAAAGAGCTGATTAACAATAAGTCCTTGCCAAGTTGTTAGCACGGATCAGGCCTCAGTGTAATTAATAGTGTTAATCCAACATTTAATTTCACGCATATGGTCATATTTATGCTTACAAACCTGATGAGGAGGCAGATGTTTTTTCTTTTGTTAGATCTCTTAACTCCATCTAGTACAAATGCTGACTCCAGAGGAACTCACCCCCCATTGCTCTTCCTTTTAACAATATAAACTCTTCTCAATGGAGAGAATAACTTTTACTCTCAGACTCCTTAAGAAGAATGGATGGATGAATGATTGGGGAAAATGGCATTGTAATAAATGTCCAGAATCTTAACAATGTCTTATATATGCATTGTGAACTGAACCTGTGCTTTTATTGTGCTGTTAGCATGATAAATCTCAATACTAATTTTTATTGAATGGATCTTGAACGCATCATAATGTAACCTCACTTCCTCGGCTCCTTACAGCTAACTAAACTCAATTAATTAGCACTACACACGGCACCTATTGCACGTCTGTCCGTCCTGGGAGAGGGATCCCTCCTCTGTTGCTCTCCCTGAGGTTTCTCCCATGTTCCCCTTTAAACTGTGGGGTTTTTCTCTGGAAGTGTTTCCTTGTACGATGTGAGGGTCTAAGGACAGAGGGTGTCGTATTGTCATACTGATATTCTGTACAAACTGTGACGTCCACTGAGACAAATGTAACATTTGTGATATTGGGCTATATAAATAAACATTGATTGATTGATTGATTGATTGATTGAACTAGCTCTCCTGCACAATTCAACATAATATTTACTTTTCAAAGGTCTCTCCTACCTTCTCCACGCCCATCTGATCCATGTAGAGCCTCTTCAGACTTTGAGATATGGGCTGGAAAGCGTTTGGTCCCACGTAGCGGATTGAATTCTGCGACAGGTTGAGCTCCTCTAGGTTCGCAGCCCGGGACAGAGCGTGGGTAGGAATCTCCTTCAGCTGGTTTGAATCCAGGTGAAGTGTACCGAGGAAAGCAGAGTCCAGAGAACCCTTTGCAACTGAAGTTATGGTGTTGTTGGTCAAGTAAAGTTCTCTGAGTTTAGGGGTTTTCGAGGACAGCAAACCAGCGGGTTCTAGTTTGGAGATGGCATTTCTCTCCAGGTGTAACACGAACAGACTTGGTAAGAGAGCCAGAGCTACAGGAGGGACACAAAGAGACATCAAATATCATGTTTTTTTGTACTTTCCTGTGCTTCTTATATTTCATCTATCTAACCACTCACCTGATCCTGGAAATTGTAGCAGTCGGTTCCCTTCCAGGTGAAGGTAGTTGAGCTTTGGGGCTCCAGAAAACGCTCCAGGGTCCAAAGACGTGATGTCGTTTTCCGAAAGATACAAATAAAACAGGCTCTTCATTCCCCGAAAGGCCCCGCCCTCGATTTCGTGGATTTTGCAGAACTCCATATGAAGAGAGACCACCTGGCTGGTGCCGGGGAAGCTGTTGGCAGGGAGGTGGTGGAAGTGGTTACTGCGTAGGTCGAGCATCTGCGTCTTGGCGGGGAAACCTCGCGGGACTTTGGTGTGACCCCGACCCTCACAGGTGGCGTGCTGAGCTTCAACCTGGGGAGGGTTGAAATCAGAGTATTATCAACAATACATCTTAGTGGGTTTTGTAACAGTAGTGGGTAAGGTCTTCAGATATTTTACTTTATTTGTAAATAGATTCAAGATTCAAGATTCAGATTCAAAGATGACCCGAGCTCCTCCAACAATGCAACATATATAATAAAATACAAAAATACAAAATAAAAAGTAGTGCACAAAGTCTATAGAATATGGGATATGTACAAGAACAGAATATGAAATTAAATTATGTAAATTAAGACAAAATTAAATACGGTTTATTGCAATGATAACTATTTATATAAATTAGTAGATTGCAAGATGACAACAGGAATGTTTATCGGGGCGCTTAACATACATACACAAATATTTTCAATATCTAGTCGCTACATTTGTCTGTGTGTAAATTGGTGCTTAGGCAATAAGTGTTAACCTAATTTTAAGAGCAGATAATGATGTTACGACGTGGGTGTATGAAAAAAGCTATGCTGGGGGCTGGGAAACCAAAAAAACAAGCTGAAAGACAATAAAAGGTCTAAAGTAACTGCAGAGCTGGGTGATAATTATTTGTGGACTGGGAAACCAAAACATTTGGAAAGAACTTCTGGGCTCATTTGCACCCTTTAAGTTCATTTATTTATTTAGATTATATATACTATTTTGTATGTTCTTACCCACTATGACTATGTATGTCATTAAGTATGGTATTCCTGTCATGCTATGTTTTTTCTTTATTATTTCTTGTTGGCTGTTCTGTATGTCTTCTATGTTGAAAAAGGGATTTCCATCAAAATATTTGAAACAAGATCTGAAAGAACTGCAAAGCTCGTTGATAGTTATCTGGTTTCATTTTTCTACAAACACTTTCATTTGCATTCAGCCCAACTTAATAACATTTACACAACACATTGTTCCGCAATTCTTGTATCAGACAGTAAGTCACTCACATCGCAGTCGCAGTTCTCCGGACACTTCCCTTTCTGTTTGGGCTTGGCTGTGGGGGGGGCGCTCTCTGTGGGCTCCAACTCAAACTCCTCCTTCAGAACTTCCCCCCGGCTGCGGCAGCGCAGATCCAGAGGAGCCACGCTCTGCAGGGGCTCCTGTGAGAGGTGGGGGGGCCCCACACAGGCCCCCAGCAGCTTCACATTACGGACCCTCGCCCACTCCCTCAGGGGCCGCATGAAGCAGTTACAGTACAAGGGGTTGCCTTTGAGAATAATTAGTATAAGATAAAAAAAAACGTAATTAATCAGTGTTTGGAAAATTGAAACGTTATAGCAGCGACAGAGATAAGAGTGAAACACAGGATGTGAAGGTGAGAGTTTGAACAAGGATAATAATAATAATAATAATAACAACAAATACAAAAAGTACTTAAAAGTATACATTGAATTATAGATATTTATTGTTAATAATATTTAATATATATAAAAATGTCAATTTGGAAGTGCGAGGACAGGAACTAAAGATGACCCTAACTTTTTACTTTTATTATTCTTTACTTATTACTTGCTTTAATTGAAGTGATGTCATGTCTGTTGATGTCTTTTGTATTTTTATTTATTTATTTTAGCAATGTTGTTTTTATATTGTCGTGGTTTATATTAATAAAGATGCATCTAGAACAGGGGTGTCAAACTCAAATACACAGTGGGCCAAAATTCAAAAATGGGTACTAGTCGAGGGCCGGACTGGTTCAATGTTTATTGCAAAACGTATTGAAATGAACTTATTGCACATATTAAACCTGGAACTAACAACGCTTAAATTATTGCCTATAAAAACAACATTA